TATTAACAGAGTTTGTACTAACGGGAGTCGACTGTATACCTTGCGCATGCGCACTATAATCATTTTTGCCCTGATTTGATACTGCCCTATTTTTCTCCTGCCGGAAAGGCTAAATAGCAAGTCCTGGAAATGCTCCTTCACTGGGTGGTATTACTTGTACAGCATTGTGTCACAACCTATTCTTGTTCACACTTGGCTAGCTATTAGCATAACAATACAACAATGGCTTTCCTGTATTGACAGCTTTAAGTCCTTCATTGTCACAAGCTTGTACTGACATACTGGTAGGTGGCCAGTGTCTATGATAATTCCTAGATAATAAAGAGCCATGAAGTATTATTAGTGTACATTGACATCAAACCTGATCTGTCAACATGGTCAAGAAGATTACAGAGGATTATGGAAATCAGATGAATTCAGTTAAATATACGGGTACAATCCATGCATGGGTTTATTGCATGTTTTATAACTCCCACATAATTATTGTGGTGGTTATAAAATGAACAGTTCTGAAAGCAGACAATGGCTTGTTTTATGACTATGTTGGATCTTTTATGGTATTCCATTTTGAAATGGCACAATAGGGAAAAAAAAACTGATGAGCTTTTTAAAGAAAATCCTACACTGCTTTATAAAATGTGACATGATGGAAATTAAAACAGGAACAAAAAGAAAGCACTTGATGACAAAAATAATTTTCTGAAGAATCATAATTTTCTTTTCTTTTTTCTAATCAAAAATGTGCAAAAAATTTAAAATACAATTACATTCAAAGTTATCCCTAGCTAGCATTTTCATTTTCAAGCATTTAGGGAATACATGTATATACACATGAACGTATGTATACATATCGTCAGAGTTTTCACGAAGAGAGAATTGTGGCCACGGGGCGTTGAAACATAGTTTTGAGAAAATCGACTTTAAAGTTGAACCCTTTTTAAACTGAAGATTTCGCCTACTTTTAGAGGACATGTTGATTATTTTTTATACCGATAGTAATATATTTTTATATATAGTAAGCTGAAATCTCACACTTACACATTGTACCAATTGCGAGTCAATAGACCAATTAATTGCGGAGCAATTAACGTTCATAGTCAATTGTCTCTTCGTGAAAACTCAAAATTCCACAGGCGATTGGTTTTGCCGGGAAAATTGGCAATGATCCAATTGTCTCTTCGTGAAAACTCAAACTCTCCATTATCCAAACACGCACAAATTGTCTCTTCGTGAAAACTCAAAATCCCACACGCGCTTCGTTTTGCCCGCGCGCTTCGTTTTGCCCGCACGCGTCGTTTTGCTTGCGCGCGCGCTCGAAAATTGTCTCTTCGTGAAAACTCAAAATCGCACACGTGCGTTATTTTGTCCCCATAGAACAACGTGCATTTTTGCTACAATTGTCTCTTCTGAAAACTGAAAATACGACTTGGGTGAAATTTTCCCTTTATTGATTCTCATGATTTCATCTGATTTTGACAAAATAAATTCGCCAAGATGTCCGTTGCAATACACTTAATCGATTTCGGCCCAAAAAAGAATTTCGAAAATATATTGATTTTTGCCAAAATTGTCTTTTCGTGAAAACTCCGACGATATGGTTGACACATCAAGAAAATATGTCACAAAGTTTAAGTAAACAACAGGTCTGTCACAAACAAGTGGTATTAAAGTTAAGTGTCTGCAAACATTCCGTTTGGTGGAAGTGTTTGCATTCATTTATGTGTCCCTCACTGATTTAATTGACACAGGTGAAGTGACATACACAAATGAGTGGCTTTGATTGACAGGTTGTTTACTACACCAACATGTAGTCATTGTATTGTTTGCTACAAATTGTGGAACAAATATATAGGCCTACAGCATACCAGGATGGTAACAAAAGGTTGTGCTTGTCAGCTCACTGTAGTCAGTGAGGTTTGAAATTGAAGATGATTCACTATGCTATTTTTTTTCATCCAGAAAAATAAATTCCTTTTCTAAAATCGCTATTTTTCTAGCGATTCAAAAGTTTTTCACTTGTGAATGAGTCATCGACCGAAAAAAAAAAATCGGCCATGATTAGTTATCGAATTATCACTTTACAATTTCAAATTTTTGGTTGCCAGACAGTAATTCTATTCTCGCAGTTTAGGCTGGTTCCTGCCTCACAATAGCTATTGATAATAAACGGACTGGGGGCCAGTCTGCTTGCAAAGCGGATCCGTTTGCGCCCAAAACAAAAAACTTTTTTTTTCACAGGGTTGGAATGAAATATAAAGTTACAAATTTATTAATAGAAAAAACAACTGAAATTGTTGTTGATCAAAGGGAAACTCAACTTTAATTCATAACCCAAAACTACCAAAAGTACAAACACTTTCCAAGTTTCCAAGGAAAAAAAAGTGTTTTCTTACAAACCACATGACAGATGGCCCCAAAGCCAGAGAGTACAAATCCCAAACAATAATAACACACCTTGTAGAGATCATTGATAGAATTTTTTGGTCAGAGATTATAAAAAGCAAGGTGTTTATTCACCATTTTTATTGTATTGACTTGGCGTGATGAGGCTGTGGCAGGCACAAAGAGAGACTGCCTGACGTGTTTTCATAAAGTCCAGTCCATTCACTTCGATGAATTGCGCGGTTGTCCGCATCCGGAGGTAGGTTTAACATGTTTAATGGGTTCTTGTGGGAACCAACCAAAGGGGTACCATGGAAAAATATCCTTCAGAAACACCTCCATTATCTACAAGTGTGTGTATTTGTTCATGTAGGGTTGCCTATGGGCTGGCTGTACTGTTGTGATGTTTGTACATGATTTAAAACCAAATCTGGCCCTTGGCACAAGAAAGCGCCAATTCTTATAAATTTCCGGTTCGATGCAGAAAATCCATTTTTCGGTTATTAATTTCAAGAGAGTGATTTGGTTAAAAGTTTTTTTAAAAAGTGCAGAAATTTATTTACTTTTGAAAAGAAATTTAATTTGGTGTGGAATGCTTTTTGCTTTTGGATATTTTTTCAAAAGAGTGATTTGGTTAAAAGTTTTTTTAAAAAGTGCAGAAATTTATTTACTTTTTGAAAAGAAATTTAATTTCGTGTGGAATGCTTTTTGCTTTTGGATATTTTGAGAACATATTTGTTGGACAATGAAAGTGGCCTGGTTTTTTTTTTTTATTATTTTCTGCAACTAATTTTTTTTCACCATATGGTCTCACAAACATGTAAATTATTTTCATTTTTGATTCCTCGGGCAAACTAGCAGTTACTAAAAGAAGGCAGCACAGCCACTATGACATGTATGACGTAATTATGAGCCAATTCAGAGAATTCCCAGTGAAAATTAAAACTAAGAAACCGGCGCCAGCCAGATGTCCCCTGCCATAATTAATTTTGTTAATTTATCCATGAAGGCAGTTCACATCAAGTCTGAAAATTGTGATGTACAAACTTTGCATACATATGTACATATGTACGCAGTTACGCCTAATTTCAGTATATGTATTCATACAATGTACAATATACCAATGCACAATGGCATTGAAAAGTCAAGAATTACATGCTGTTATCTGACACTGACAATATTGATTTCATTTGATTTGTGTCTGATTTTTCATTTAATAAAAATATAATCGAGAACCTACTGTGTGCACGTTTGGGCAGATAGGCATGATAGGGCCTAGTATAATCTGAGAAAAGTGAGAACGAATGCAGACCTTAAATTAGACCCGTGAACGTGGCGTTGTATACACGCGCTTTCGTCGGGTAAATACAAGTGACAGCATTCTATCTTTTGATCCGCTACATATAACCATGTATAATTTTGCCCATAGGTGAATCACTTATTTGTTGGGCTTCCTGTGAATTTACGCGAATGTTGAATCTGTCATTGCCAAGAAATTGATGTAAAGTACGGCACAACTTTGTCACAACGAATGTTTTCAAAATGATCAGAAAATCAAAGACAGGCATGACACTCTGGTACCCCGAGTTTCGCATGCGCAAAACGGAAGAAGTATCACCAGTGGGTACCCGACTAACCGTCTTACATGGCCGGATGACCGTAATACCATGTAAAATTCTGCTAAATCCACTTCAAAAGTCTGCCAAATCACCCAGTTTATATTGCTGTTCCATTGTGCAAGGGTTTGTTTTAAGGATCTTTTAAAAAATGAAGGTTTTACAAACCAAATGTGCCATATTTCTTTCCAATCTTTTTCATTTCCTTCATAATTCTGCCGAAAAAAATATTCTGCTGATTTTCTGTACAACTCATTTTTGTATGCAAATATTCTGTCAAATGTAGCCGAAATTCGGCTAGACAGTCACTCCATTTTAATATCCGCGGATAACAATAGAGTTTTTCTACTATAGACTGAAGCGTGGCTATGTATAGCCACGTTCACGGGTCTAACCTTAAATTTACATTTATATAATATTGGATGGCTTTGTTTGAGGTGGATACAAGAATATATTGCACGAGCTATGACAATATTGCACAAGTCGAAGACGAGTGCAATATTGTCATACATGTCATAGCGAATATTGTCATAGCCGGGGGGGGGGGGGGGGGGGAGAATCTGAGATGGTCAAAATAACCCGGCCCTTTTTAGGGTTTAAACAATATTATTATGTTATTAGCCCTAAACATGTTTAATTGTTAAAATGTTTGTATCACCCGCAAATCACAACACACTTTCACATTTTTTGGCAGTCACACTCACACTCTAATTTTCATCGTTGTTCATACAAAAACTATTTTTAACATCTTCATCTTTTATAACACTTAATACTGATTACACAGAAAATGCAGGATTTGGCTCCAAAATCAAGTAAACAAAATTTACAACTTAGCTATTGCGAAACCACAAATTACAATGTTATTCAATGGCAAATCTACGGCTCTATACGCATGGTACAGACACATCACAACGAAATACGCACTGATGACATTGTTGACAACGAGTCAAAGTCGTGTCGAATATGAAGCGGTAAAACATTAAAATTTGACAAAATTCTTACCTCAACGTATGCTGCAATAGAGACAGAGTACAAGGCTGTCAGGCAAATCAACGTTAGGCTCATAGTTTTAGCCATTGCGGTGCAGGGAACGGCCAAAAAATGGCTCTTTTTGTGAAGAAATCGCACTCTTCTCTCCGTCTACGTCGATCGGGTGTGTTGGTGCGCTATTGTAAGGCGCATGCGCTCGCTGTGGTTTCGTTCACAAAATAAATAATAAGGTGGGTAAGAATCGATTACTTTAGTCTGATAGACTCGAATAATTGTCATGTTATCGATCAATTCGTTCGTAAACTGCAAAGGGGGGGGGAAAGAGGTCAAATGTCTTGCAGCCAATAGTTCGAACTTGTAAAGTAATAATTCAATAATAAACATGGGCCATTTTTCGGTCGATGTCTCACTCAAAAAGCGAATAACCTATTTGTAAAAAATTGCTAGACAAAACAGCAATTTAGAAAAAGAATACTTTTGTTTACTCGTATCCATGGGCGTCAATCGGTGGGGGACGTGGGGGACAAGTCCCCCCCCCCCCCACTTTTTAAAGTGTGTGTGTGTATGTGGGGGGGGGGGGGGGGGGGGGGGGGTATCATATCGTTTGTCCCCCCACTTTTTTCGTCCCCCTCCAGAAAAATGTAGCCTTCATAATTATGATTATATAGCTCAGAATAGCTGATGCAATTACTCCAAACTTAAAATGATGTTAAAATTATGATCTTTTGCTCAAAAAAATGCGTTAAAGTGGTCAGAAATTGCCTCAAATCGCACCACAGAGCGTCTAGAATCAAACAAATTTGGGGGGCCCTTTTAATAAGTGGGCCCCGAACTAGGGGTCCGAAATAGGGCTTTGCGCTTCACGCTCGCATTTCCGATCAACGAATGTCCCCCCCCCCCCCCCCACACACACACTTTTGAAAAGTGATTGACGCCCTTGCTCGTATCAGAAAATGCATGTGCATCTTTAAGAAATTGTTCATACCACAGTATATAGGGGTTAACGGTCAACCTCTCTGTCAAAATATATATATTTTGAAAACAATTTATTTATTGCAAAAAAATTGTTTCAAGAGCAAAAAGTATCCGCTACCATTATTTTCAGCGGTGTAGCATGAATTTAGATTTTATGAAATACGGACTTATTGGTGGAATTGCGCATGCTCATGCATCGATAATTAGGAGAGGGACCGGTCACGTGAGAGGGTTTAACCAATAAAAGGGAAAAAGTCCGATTTTCTTACGAGTCCGATTTTCATATGACAGGCGCCACGCTACCGATCAATATCGAAGCCGAACTCAACGAGGCCGATTATTCGATATTAGGTAGTCGATACTGAGCGACTTGACAATGCGTGGTGATTGACCAATGGACCAACCAACCTTGAATCGCAAGAAAACATCTCTGAGAGGATGACGTCAGAGACGTCTAATTTCTCCAAGCAATCCTATTGTAATTAATTATGACCTTACAAGCAATAGAAAGACTGGGTGTACATGTATATCGTTAATCAATTTTGATCTGTTAATAAATGACACATAAGATTAAATGTTTGAAGTAATCAGAAAGGGCAGCCTGATGCGGCGGCGGCCGCGGCGCGGCGCAGTCGCAAAACTCCCACCCTCAACGGATATTTTTAGTCTAATCACTGAGGTAGAATTTCTCGAGCACTTTTGAAGGTTTGGCCCATGGCCTAATGTTTATCACGATTCGACTGCCAGAAAACCATTATACCCCAAAACACTCAATAGGTTTTTTTCCGGGTAGTTTACAGGTTTTTTTCTTTCAATGTCCACATTAAGTGTGCTAGATAGAGTACATCCCCCCCCCCCCGAACAAAACGTTTTGTATATCCATGCATGTTTGTACAAACTAACTGAGTAATATTTTACTGAATCGATTCGTATGTAAGAAATGCATATGACTAAGCACGACCGAATGCAAACTATACTCGGCCAGTTTCTGTAAATTGAACTTTTAATTCATGATATTCGAATAACTTACTCAGGTCGGATGTCCCATTAAGTGAAGTAAAACCGAGATTTATATTTTCAAAACATAATGAGTAACTCCGTCAAACGGTCCACAATTATAATTACAGTTGTCCCATTTCCAAATGGTGTCCGCGCATAAGTCCGACGCCTAGGTCCGACGCCTCATAAGTCCGACAAAATCTCATCCACCAACCAAATAAAGGCCCATAATTATAAGTCCGACGCCTCATATAAGTCCGACGCATCGTAAGTCCGACGCCTCAAAGGTCCGACGCCTCATCTAGTCCGAAAACATCGTTTGACCGGGTTGCATACCTATCCCCAATACCGATGTTCCCCGAAATCCCTATCCTATAACCCCAACCCTAACCCTAAGGATTTCGGGGAACATCGGTATTGGGGAACATCGGGTAGACCCCGTTTGACCGTTGTCGGAATTATGAGGCGTCGGACTTGTGAGGCGTCGGAGCTATGAGGCAAAACCCCAAAGTCCAATGCCTCATAAATCCGACGTCTCATAATTCGAAATTTCGGACTCTTGATGCGGCCCCGCCCCCTTCCAAATTATCCTACTGAAACGAAATTTAAAATTGCTCAAAATCAGACAGAGAAACACAAACACGGAAATAGATCGTAACAAACGAACAGAGATATTTTCATCAATTTTATTCAGGTAACATTTTTATTTTCTCCTTACTCGATAAGTCACTAGATTTATCTCTGTATACCCCTTCTTTTTGTTGAACATAAAACAAGAAAAAAATTAACGGAACTGGAAATAAACTAACATAAAGGTAAAACCAATCTATAACGGAACTGCACTTAACACATAAGGCACTTCGTTACAGATTTCGTTTGGAAGACTTTATCTGGATTTTGCTGCTGGGCTTTTAAATGAAAAGCAAACACATAAACATAAACAAAACAACTAATTTATAAAAGAAATATCTTATTTATGAAGAACAAATACCATATATGATGTCAAAAAAAAAACAATAGAAAAACAAAATAAGCCCCAAACCTATAATTTAAGGTTTTCACATATCCATTCATATCACAAGAAAATTTACAACTTTCAAATATATTTGGCATAATATTGTGACAAAATTGATCGTCTGTATTTAATAATAATACATGTTACGGGAGGTCACAGGACCACTTTATGTTAAAAAAAAAAAAAAAAAAAAAAAAAAGGAAAAAAAAAAGAAGACTTTTCATAGAAATAGTTATTGCACTTTTCTTGAGTCTGGATGTGACCAATGATAACTTGACAGCTACATGATGTTCCAGAGGAACAAGTTTAGATAATAAGAGACTTTCAAATAAAGACATTTCTACAAACCCATTAGAAATGCCCCAAACATAAGTACATAAAGCCCCCCCCCCCCAAAAAAAAGTCTCCGGTTTCTGGTATGGAGCTTGCCCCAAAAGTGGTGCGGCAACGCAGCTTTTTTTTCTTTTTCTTCTTTCTTCAATTGTCGGCTGATGACTGCAAATGGTGCCCGACTAAATTTAGTGCAAAATGTATCGGAGCCCAGAGAGGCCACATAAAGCTTATACTCGAACGTAACCCCATCTAAAAACATGTTAAAATTGTGCAGCAGCAGGATACCAGTGAGTTTGGTTGGTTTTGAGGCATCATCTTACATTGAAAAAAAAAAACTTTTTCATTTGCCGACGCGCATGGCTACGGCGACGCGCGCGCATACCAGAAACCGGTGACTTTGGGGGGGGGGGGGGGGGGGCTAAGAAAAGACAACAAACTTTGCTACAATCTAGCATGCATCAGAAAGCAGGCCACATGTTTTTTTCAAAACATCATAATTTTGTCTTCTAGTGAGGGTTTGCAGTATCACCATTGGTGTTACAGCAAACCCTCCGAACTTTACACTACCGTGGGCGTCGCCAGGATTTTTTTTCCAGGGGGGGGGGGACAAAGCAAATTTTCTCCCCGAAATACCTTTACTTTGCCAGAATATTCTCGATTTATCATTTTTCAAGGGTGGGCAGGGACATTCCCCCCCCCCCCCCCCCCACCCCATTAAATTAACAGCAATATGACTTTCTGCCTTTTTTTTTTTTTTTTGCTTTCCAAGGGGTGGGGGAGGCAAGCGCCCATGTATATGTACACTACCGCCTTGCAAAGTTTCAAATCTTATACTTTGTCTTGTGATAACGTAAATTGTAAGTAGAAAAAAGTACTAAAGATTTTTAAGTAAATAAGTTGTTGAAGTAAGACAAAGTACAAAGCTGTCTTGAAACCTTATATACACATATGTATTCCCATGAAAGACACTTAATACTGAACAAAATAAAAGGCAGTTCTAATATTACAACATTTTTTTTACAATTTTTTTTAATATTACTTTTGGTAAAGTAACTTTAAATCAACAAATAAATTGGGAACAGACTGCGAATAAAATGTACTTCAAAATGACATGACATTGGTCAAATGCAAAGAACTAACAAGCACACCTAGCTGCTTAACTAAAACAATTGCGCTTAGCGAGATCCAGTTAGCAATAAACATGCCATGCTGGCAGTGGCTAACACGTACATTGGTAAAAAAAAATACATTTTCAATGTAATTTTTGTCTCTTCGAGTTGATATTACTGACTGCTAAGGCCAAAAAAGAGAGAAAATTCTGCTTCCGGTTGCCCTACCTACCCTATTCTGACAGCCCCTACCCTAATTTTGTATTGGAAAAATGAGAAAAAACACCCAAAACCATCAATTTCTACCTTTTACCCTTGACTACACGCCGACCCCTCCATATGATCGTACAAAAAAAAAATGGCCAAAAAAAATTAAAAATTCCCTACCTACCTACCCTATTTGCAAATGCCATGTAATCAGAAGCAGAACTATTTTTTTGGCCCAATATATCTTCACATTTCCAAAATATACAAAATAGGACACCATTTTCCCTTTAAGATAAATGCTGACAACAGTTGGCACAAGGTTTTATGAATGAATACAGAAACTTGCTGACAAGGATTCAGCAATTTGCCAAAATATAAACTGCCAAACTCTGAAGTTCATAGATCCAGGTTTACCTGTTGGTAAAATGAATTTGTATATATCCCATTGCATTATGGATAGTTTGTAATGCCAGTGGCGTAGCTGGAGTGGTGTGGGGGTGGGGGAGGGGTGTGGCGGGTGGGTCGTGGGGGAAGGGGAGGGGTGTGGGGGAGGGGGGAGAAGAGGGGGTGATCACACCCCACTCCCATATTTGTTGCTGTCAGCAAAATGGTTATCCTGTCTCTTATCCTACATATGTGATGCGATCAAGCTACATGAGTCGTTCGGGAATTTCTATTTGGAGATACAGGCCAAAATACAGGCCAAAATACGGCCACTTCATCACATCACTTCATCACATCTCTTGGTGTTCTGACTTCCATAATTTTTGAACTAACGATGGTATCAGCATGCGGTTTTTACAGCAGTAATGCTGAGATTGTGCTCTTTTCAAATCTGTAATAAAAAAAAAAAATGACCAGGGTCAACAAACAACTCATGTAGCTTGATCGCATCACATATGCCATAATGAAAAGCGCCACCGATTGTCCGATAGTGTCCAAGATCGTCCGCTTTGAACAATGCCCCCATAATTCAGATGGTTCACCTACACCCCATTGCGGCAGGAAGGTGACCCCCTAAAAAATCCTGGTTACATTCACCACAGAGTGGTCTGTCAGCAATTTTGTTAACCCCCCCCCCCCCCGTTAAGCTGCTCAGACAAAGCCTGCGCACCCATACCCCAATTTGTAATGCACAATGTCCCGAAATGCACTGCACTATAAACCTCCTCTGCGCACTTCTCGTCTATCTGTCAAAGTGTCTGTGATGTCGCCTGTGGTTTGGCATGTGACCTTCTCTTGACCTCATTCCTCTGACCTTTGACCTGATGCTGATGCCGGAGGGGGCGTGTCGCTGTGTCGTCCTACCCGCCTGATATGATGGAGACATGTCATGATGCAGTACAGTGTCAGAATACCCACAACCAAAGCACTAGACACCTGACGATGAAATACAGGGAAAAGAAAAGACAAGAAATTAGACAAGTTATGCAAACTGCTTGACTCGATCCAACCAAAATACATCGATCTGAAACATTTGTAATACTTTAGCCAAGGACTCATTTTTCTTCCAATTTAGAGAAAACTTTGCAAACAATTGTTGACTGCAAAAGTAAGTGTTACTTCCTGGGAATAGTATGCATGCACAAAAAGTACATGGCACCCTGTGATCACTTCTGAGAGTCTCTGTACGCACCGCGTGTGCATCCTGGTTAGCATGAGTATTGTGACAAGTACGCAGGACTTTACATTATTATTACCCCTGATCATTGGGCCAATGAAACATTCCAAATACCATCTCAGCTCCCTGGGGAGTATACAGCTCGATGCAGCCTGTTAGGCGCAAGGACGCTTATTCAATCACAATAACCATCTCTGCCCTCACAGGTACCCATTTACTCCTGTGACAAAGTGCCTTGCCCAAGGGCACACGCACCATGACCCCAGGCTGGACTCGAAACCACAACCTGCAGCTTTACCCACAGACCATGAATCCATTGCACTTAACCACGAGGCCACAGCACACCACAACCTTCAATGGTATAAAGCGCAATACATGTACATGAATAAGCAGCACATTCTTGTTTGAATGTCTGTCCCGGTGGTCTCATTGTTACATTATTACAACACATTGAAATTATGCTGCACTAGCATCCTGAACAAGAGATTAGAATAATTGGTTTATATTAAGAACCAATAGATTTATGGAACATATATCATAAAGAATGCCTGTGATATTTTCTTTACCTGGACTGCTAATGTGTGTTTTCCCATAGATTCAAGAGTTGTACTCGAAGCAAAGCCAGGCCACACGGCAGGTAGGAATCTTTGTTACCTCCGTCTCGACACCTGCACACAGAAACACAACAAGGGAATGTCGAATTCAAGATTGAAGTTTACTTTACCAGGGATGTAGTCGAGTCCATCCCAAGTCCATTCAAAAGTAAATCACAAGTCCAGTCACAAGTAACAGTCGGTGAATAATAACAAAGGAATGCCTTTGTCAAAGCTCATTTGCATAGCTTGTGATTTTAATAGAGACTGGAGGACTTGTGATAGACTTCCAGGACTTGTGATGGACTCGACTACATCCCAGTACTTATACCAAGTGCAGAGATGCCACAGGGAAAGCTTGAAAAAAAAACAAGTCAGGTGTGTTTACAAACACAAATGCCCCGCAACGGTGACAGTTCCCATGACATAACACCACTCTTTTAACATCAACTTACATGTACCTTGGTCACATGGAACATTCATTGACAGCATTAGTGTCTTCTGTAGGTTTTATATGAATTAATCCCTAATCCCTATAATCTCAGAATAAATACATGATTTCTATTGTTTTAGCCACTGTGAACTTGACCCTCGACCTTTTGGCCCCAAATTCAATAGGCTTCTTAGGATTACCAAGAACAATCCACAAACCAAATTTGAAGTTCATATGTTAATTATTTCTCAAGTTATCGCGCTGACAAGATTTCTATTGTTTTAGCCACTGTGAACTTGACCTTTGGCCTTTTGGCCCCAAATGCAAAAGGCTTCTTAGGATTACCAAGAACAATCCACAAACCAAATTGAAGTTCATATGTTAAGTATTTCTCAAGTTATCGCGCTGACAAGATTTCTATTGTTTTAGCCACTGTGAACTTGACCTTTGGCCTTTTGGCCCCAAATGCAAAAGGCTTCTTAGGATTACCAAGAACAATCCACAAACCAAATTTGAAGTTCATATGTTAAGTATTTCTCAAGTTATCGCGCTGACAAGATTTGTCCGGACACACACACACACACCCACCCACCCACCCACACCCACGGAAGGACAAGGCGGAAACAGTATGCCCCTTCGGCTTCGCCGCGGGGCATAAAAAAATGGAACTGGGTCTGCTTGGAAGAAACGGAACAGCTTGAAAAAATAGGGAACGTTTTTGCATGTGAAAAAGCCACTCTGAGTCTGACACAAAATCCCCGTTGTCATCTTTATCTTGTAGCCAAGCCCAGTTCCGTTTATTTTTTAATTTTGCTTCTATGGCCTTTAAGCTGTCGGTTCGTTTGATCACTTTGACTTTTTTCCATATTCCTAATATTTGTTTTTAAACATTTTGTTAAATGGGTACCGGCATTATTCAATGCTGGGACGGTAACAGACTTGCTGTGGAGGAGGTGTGGCGATCCCCCCACAGCAGCGTATGAGTCTGGCCCAATCGCTAACGAAAGAGAGATGGGCACTCCGTTCCTGTGAACACAGGTTCGTCCCCCTCCTCCTTTAAAGGTGCAGGACAGTGCCATGTCTACTTTACCTCCTGTATAGTGTCATAATAAGCTGTGTCTTATCATCTGTGTTGTAGACATCACTAGGAACGCGAAGACTCTTCCAGACGGTAGTGTCAATCTCTGTGCCTTCCTCCACAAGATAGGCAAGATTGAACTGAGCCTACAAGACACAAAAAAAGGAAACATTCATGTTCAAGAAAACAGACTCAATGGAACAGTGCAAGATGGACAAGTGAGCCAGTGTATGTGACACACCACATTTCCTGTGGCCGTGTTGTGGGGAATTTTGTCTCATTGTGGCAGTTAGGAATGAGTTGTGGGGACTATCTGCTGCTCCTACAATGCAGTGTTGTAGTCGAGTCACCAACGTTGAGTCCGAGTTCGAGTCTCGAGTCACTTGTTCTTAGTTGTTCACCACAATTTTAAAAAAAAATTCCAATCATCCATTCTGTCTTTTAAGTAAATCCCAGTGTATATAGTTTACCTTGTGTGTGTACATGTTGTTTAGACCCAAAACGTGTTTCCTTAATTCCTTTTAATACTGGACACTTTTTGGCATGACATTGGGCCCTGGTCGTGCAGGCTCTAGGTGTGCGTGCGCGGGCCACCTGGATACGATTTGCCGCAGCGCCTTGTTTTGTAAAAAAGAATGCTACGTTCCCGTCGCACAAATACAAACATTATTTGTTTTTCTTTTGATGACTCGAGTCACGAGTCGTCTCTTGACTCGAGTCACGAGTCATCAAGCTCGAGTCCGAGTCATCATGGTCAAGTCCGAGTCCGAGTCATTTTCCAATGTTACTCGAGTCGAGTCCGAGTGACTCGAGTCCAAGTCCTGGACTCGAGTCCTACAACACTGCTACAATGTCTTTGGATTTTATAACTAAATATCATGCATGCATCAGGTGTGTTGTACCCTCAACTAAGGAACAAGTATTGGTCACACACTGGTTCGTTTTCGTGATGAATTTGTATTTGCATGTGCACACACCCAATGCGTCTTTGAGTGGGAATGCACAAGAGAAAGACGGTAATTGCAATGCAATGCTCCAGACCACAAGGCCACTAACATGATTTATGTTGCTACCGTAGGACCACACACAAGTTGTATAATAGGTTTTGTGGTTACCAAAACGGTAAGTCCAACCTGAGGTCAACCTCCTCATTCTCGAGCATCACTGATTCCTTGAATCAGACGTTGAAGTCTTTCAACTGACCTGTGGTTCATGTCTCTTGGCAGCCATTGCATAGTACCGCACAGCGCTGCTCTTGTCTTCATCTCCATGGTGTCCATAATAGTAGAAATCACCCATCTTCAGCTGGGCTGTAAGACAAAAAAAAAACTAATGTCATAATCAGACCCTTGACACATACAGTGGTATGTGGTATGATGTTGAAACGTTACTGAGAGTGGAGGGGCAGAGTTCATATGCCTCTGTAGTGAGGCATCTTAAAATGGGCGGGGAAAAAAAGTATGTTGGGGGGTAGGGGTTACAAATGCATCTCTGGCCTCCCAACTTGCGCTACCTATGGATCCCTGTTGTTGACAAGCCATCTTGTTAGTCCCCAAGAATATTGGGGAGAAAAATGTAGTATACTAGGAATAACTACTGAACAGCTATGATTGAATACAGTAAACTCCGGCTAAGTCGGCACTCTCGGGACCCGAGAATTGGTGACGACTTACGCGAATGCCGACATCTGCTGTAAGTCGTCAATTTGCCGACTTACATGAATGGCCTTTTGCACACATGATTCATTGCACTAATTGGTTTCGATTTACCCTCGTTTATCTCCTCAATGCTTGAGTTGAATCCAGCAATTAATCCTTGAATTGTATCATCACGTTTGGAGTATTGGTAGTGGAGACCACAATGCATATGTACATGCACAGTAACGAATTAAATGCGTGCGTGGTTCGGTATATACCACGCACGCATTGACTGCAGCAGTAGTCATTCAATAAGATGATCCCCAAAATGGACAGAGCGCATGCGTACAGCCTAGAGGGGGTACTGGTATTGATATGCTCACAATGCATATGCGATTTATGCAGTAGGACACCCTTTTTCGACACCGATACATGCAGCGATCACAGGCTGTGCCAAACCACCTTTCACTCAACACTTTTTTGAAACCGCAGTACAGGAAGTCGATATCAATGCGTGATATGTTGAATGCAAAGGATTTTGTAATGCTTTTTATGGAAAAGGGGACCGACAGTAACACGACGACTTGAGCGAAATGGCGACTTATAAAAGCCGACTTAGAAATAAACAAGTCAGGTGTGTTTACAAACACAAATGCCCCGCAACCGTGACTGTTCCCATGACATAACACCACTCTTTTAACATCAACTTACATGTACCTTGGTCACATGGAACATTCATTGACAGCATTAGTGTCTTCTCTAGGTTTTATATGAATTAATCCCTAATCCCTATAATCTCAGAATAAATACAAGATTTCTATTGTTTTAGCCACTGTGAACTTGACCCTTGACCTTTTGGCCCCAAATTCAATAGGCTTCTTAGGATTACCAAGAACAATCCACAAACCAAATTTGAAGTTCATATGTTAAGTATTTCTCAAGTTATCGCGCTGACAAGATTTCTATTGTTTTAGCCACTGTGAACTTGACACTTGACCTTTTGACCCCAAATGCAATAGGCTTCTTAGGATTGCCAAGAACAATCCACAAACCAAATTTGAAGTTCACATGTAAAGTATTTCTCAAGTTATTGCGCTGACAAGATTTCTATTGTTTTAGCCACTGTGAACTTGACCTTTGGCCTTTTGGCCCCAAACGCAAAAGGCTTCTTAGGATTGCCAAAAACAATCCACAAACCAAATTTGAAGTTCACATGTAAAGTATTTCTCAAGTTATCGCGCTGACAAGATTTCTATTGTTTTAGCCACTGTGAACTTGACCTTTGGCCTTTTGGCCCCAAATGCGAAAGGCTTCTTAGGATTACCAAGAACAATCCACAAACCAAATTTGAAGTTCATATGTTAAGTATTTCTCAAGTTATCGCGCTGACAAGATTTGTCCGGACACACACACCCACACACCCACCCACCCACCCACACACCCACACACCCACCCACCCACCCACCCACCCACCCACGGAAGGACAAGGCGGAAACAGTATGCCCCTTCGGCTTCGCCGCGGGGCATAAAAATTTAATGGAAATGCAATACGGACAATTGGGACTTCAGTCAGACGGCCGACTTGAGCGATTTGACGAGTTGTATGATGTCGGTTTAGCCGGAGTTTACTGTACTTTGAATGGGCAGAAATAATAATAATTTGGGAGATGATCATCCTGACTCGTAGCTGAAAAGCTGAATTGCAAAGGTCGCGGTTCAAACTGGTCGAGCAGAAGGCATGTAAAAGCACCTTAGGCAGCCGCCATACAACCCATGTCTGACCACAGAGCACAGCAAAGTCGAAAGTGTTGATTTTTTTACACAGGGAGGAAAACCGGATGGAGAGCCCGGAGAAAAACCCTCGTGGCACAGGAGAGAATCAACGAACGACTCTCACATGTGGTCCGAGCCGGGAATCAAACCCGGGCCACATTTGTGAGAGGCGATCGCTTTACGTACTAGCGAACCTAGCCACCCTATAAATCATAGAGTGTTTGGACACACTGCTCATCATGATGGGTCGTGTTGTCCCCTTCAATTTGATACCACAGTCGAACTTGTGATGCATGTAGTCCAAAAGATCTAGTGCTGCAGCCGAACCGCCGAACCGAACTAAAAATAGCCGAACTTGGCCTTCCGAACCGAACCCGCAATGAACCGAACCCAAAAGTCGGTTCGGAAAAGTTCGGCAAGTATTTGTTGATAGCGCTAGGCATGCTAAAGCTTGCAATGAAAGGGCAAAATTAGCGCGCACGGACGATTGAATTTACCGGGTTGAAAAGTCTCCGCATTCATCTTCATTATTTGCGATGTTGTAGCCAGGCATACAATAGGATATCGGGGCCGATACGCTTTGAAAAAAATCATACGCACCTGCAATTCTCTCAATGGAGAGAGCAAGTGTGCTCTTGCTTTGGCCGCGCAGCGCGGCCTGGATATCCTGTTGCAGCACTAAAAAGATGTCATACATTTTCCATTTTGCAGCAATGTCCACTTATGTATGGAAATGCCCTAGACTATTCCGATATCGCTGTACACTCAGAAGGCCCCCTTCAATGGAAAAAACCATTGTGCATGCTATTGTACAAAGCAACTTCCCATGGTGGATTATCTGAACAATAGCTAGCACAATGCTTTCGCCATTGAAGGGGGCCGTCATGAGTGCACAGTGATAGCATGCCAATAACAGTCCCTGAACAGAAAGACTCACAGATAACGTGTGGTTGCGCAGCATGGCTGGACAGGTTGTAGTACTTCCAGACACAGTCAGTCCTGACGTAGGCTGAGACTTGACCATCCTGCCAACATAATGACATGGGAATGTAAACGGCATATGATCACTCGCATAAATTTGGGGTCCAAAGTGTGACATTTTTCCTGTCCCTGTTACCTGGGTACTTTGTAATTTGCCATTCAAGTATCATTAAGAATGACTTCAAATGATTGTTTATTTGTTGGGTAGGTAGTTTGCTATTCATAATCACTCTTGGAGGATGACTGCATTAAGTAGTGCATCAGAATTATACAATCATAGATGTCAGATGTAACAGGGACGGGGAAAAAAGTGGACCCCAAATTTATAGAATGACCCGGCAATTCCCAAAAGTGTGACATTTGAGAAGACCTTTGAGTGTTGTTGATAAAAGTACGATCTTGGTCTCTCAATTTTTGCTGTAAACATTGCAAGCTTCGAACAAATATCCTCACCTGCAAAGGATATAACTGGTTTTGTATTTTACAAAAATATAGTGGATATTGTATTAAAAAGTGTTACTTACATGTACGTAACGAAGGACAGACATTTTAGATATAGTCACAAAGTAAGCATCAAATTTCATGATCCCCTAATGTTGACTTATTTTTACATAAGTCAACATTAGGGGATCATGAAATTACATGAAATTAGGGGATCATAAAAGAAGATGTACCCTGGAGGAATGCTTATCAGTCAAAACCTAGAAAACTCAGAGTCAGTGTGTTGAATTATTTGATATTTTATAATCAGGATTTATACGTACGAACAGACTGGCCATTTGTCACAAAATGTCTGTCCCTGTTCGTATGTAACCCTAGTCAAATCATAAATTTGAAGCCAGTGTGAAAACTGTTATATTTTTGCTTGATAACAATGTAAAATGGCTTAATAATGTCACTGGAAGTGCCTATTAGAAATTTAATTTGTCCTAAGCACCCTTTTCCTTGCAGTGTGTCTGTCCATGTTACGTACGTATCACACAGAAAAGATGCCTGTTATTTTCTCCCCCAAAAAAGATAACATCTTTTGTCTTGTCTTGTCCTAGTCACTTTCAACTTAGCAAGGTATAGGAAAAAAACAGAAGAAAATACTAACTCATCTTTTACCCTCTTTATGCAACATCCATAAACTTGTCTAATTGGCCCGTAAGTGTGGAATTGCCCATTTATCAAAAAAGTAACCTCCCCAATTATCATCAAAAAGCTTCCTTGGATTAAACATCGTACTGGTACTAAACACCCCGCAAAATCACGTTTTGTGATAAAAAATTGTGCATGTTTTATTCATTGTCTTCTTGAAAAGTGTAGTCATTTTTATCCACTGAACTGAAACTTCAACAGGTTAGGTTTCGAAACATTCTTCTTTGGATTTTAACTGGTTAATATTGGAAAGGAACAAAATGCATGAAAAGCAAATGATCCTATAATGCCTTTAAGGGTATTAGACTTAAGCAAACAAGGTCAGATGTAAAGTCAGAACACAGCATGTGATTTGTTGCTGAAGTGACCTCACTTTTTCAAATATGTAAATGTCTGCGCTATTTTCAAGTTTTCACTGAACTTTTGGGGGCTGCTTTTTTAGCAAAAGTTATTTCCCTTTGAATGAGACATAAAATGATTAAAATTCAACAAACTGTTAGTCACGAAATAATTACATTACAAATAAAAAACTATTTGCAGCCAATAATTCCATACGCACTGGTTTAACTGGTTCCCAACCTATTATCGGTATCGATTATGTATGGAGGGAACCAGCCCACTCACACAGTGGATTCATTTGTTCGTACAACAGCAACCCAAATAGAAGCGTTATACAGGGTGGATAAAAAAAGCGAAACCGAGATATTATTGCTAGTTGAAACAGAAGTAGGGCTCATGTGAATCAAAGGGAGATATCCTCTGTTAGGGTTGAATCTCCTCTTTAAAATGACAGCCTGATCATGTCATTACATTCACGGTTGACTGAGCAGTGACCAATTTTATAAAAGGGTCGAGTGGTAAGACATCTGCACTAGAAAGCAGGAGGTCGTTGGTTCGAGTCCCACCGGAGTGATTTTTTTCCAACTTTCACTTGGGAGGTAACACACTGAGTATACAGTGTTTAAACGTCAATGAAGGGCAAAACCTAATTTGATTTATATCACCCCGACGCAAAATTCCATCTTATAAAAGTACTTACATGGTCCTCCTCACAGAGATGTGCTAGGTTGAACTGAGCAACCTCTAGGCCCGTCTCAGCAACCATCATGTAGTACACAATACTCTCACCCCTAGAGGGAACAATGAAGATAATGGGGTTCACACTCATAGTGGACCTTCTACCACGATGTGAATAAGTATCAGCTGAGCTGATTTCATGATCATCTCCTCAATACATTTAGGTTAAAGGGGTGCTGCGTCCTGAAATCCCCGAACATTTCATGTTTTGGATTGTTTACTTATCCTATTTCAAACATCGGCTTGAAAGGAAACCAACCTAATGTCTTACCACTTCCGAGAAAAGACGAACAAATCCCAATTGTTTACATCGGACACGACGGAGTACATTGTATGATACCTGTTTTCTGTCATTTTTATACAGGTGTACGATACACGTTGTGCGTCTAGTATTTACACACGTACACAGCACCGTGCTCACGAACAGCGGTAACCAATCACCAATGCACAAAATGTGATTTCTTACACGTCCACAAAACTGAGTTATTCATTGTTACCATGATCCTTCTAGATATGTGTCCAGGCCTTTGCGTAATGCCGTCCCTATCTCTGGTTGCCCCACCCACCATATGGCCCACCCTCTACCCTAAGAACTGAATTATTCATTCGTACCACGATCCTTCTAGATACGCATCCAGGCCTTTGCGTAATGCCATCCCTATCTCTGGTTGCCCCACCCACCATAAGCCCCACCCTCTACCCTAAGAACTGAATTATTCATTCTTACCATGACCCTTCTAGATACGCGTCCAGGCCTTTGCGTAATGCCGTCCCTATCTCTGGTTGCCCCACCCACCATAAGCCCCACCCTCTACCCTAAGAACTGAATTATTCATTCTTACCATGACCCTTCTAGATACGCATCCAGGCCTTTGCGTAATGCCATCCCTATCTCTGGTTGCCCCACCCACCATAAGGCCCACCCTCTACCCTAAGAACTGAATTATTCATTCGTACCACGATCCTTCTAGATACGCGTCCAGGCCTTTGCGTAATGCCATCCCTATCTCCGGATTCTGCTCACATACCAAGCGAGACCAGCTGCAATAAAAAAAAAAGACCAAAGTAAAATTTACTTCATTTTCTTGGAGAAGAAAGTGGCAGTTGAAAACAAACAAATGCAAAGAAGAAAAGAGAAAAAATTGTGTTTAGTGGTTAAGACTGAGTGATTTTATTCTTTTTGTGTGTTTGAGGGCTTGGTATTCTGATATGTGTGAAAATACTCCGGATGCAGGAATGAAGTTTATCAAACAGAATTTAGAATTTTTCCTTTTTTCTTTTGATCAACAATCTAGGTTGTTGGACTCACAAGACTGCTTTATAGCTACTGCGTTCCACACCAGTAGATCCTTGGCTGTAGATCTCAGCTACAACTCCTGCAGAGTCTATGTGTCCACGGTCTGCAGCTTTCTGGAAATACAGCAGGGCCTTGGCCTAAAACAAGAGAAAAAGAAGGAACGTTAAAAGATACATGCAAATCAATGGCCTTTTGGCCATATACATATATCCTAGGTTATGTACGGCATCCTTGTGCCCATTCTGGTAGATTTTCCCTGCCCCGCCCCTCTCACTTTGTCTACAGGTTTGCCTGGGTATTGACTAGACTTTAATCCCAGGTTATGCATGGCGTCCCTGTGCCCCATTCTGGTAGATCCCCCCCCCCACCCTCACCCCCACCAAACACCCACTCAGACTCCCCTTCACCCAGACCATCCCACTCACACCTCTCACCTCATCTGCAGGTTTGCCTGGGTACTGACCAGACTTGTACATATATCCCAGGTTATGCATGGCGTCCCTGTGCCCCATTCTGGCAGATCCTCCTCCCCCCACCACCCACCCACACCCATACCCTCTCTCACCTCATATGCAGGTTTGCCTGGGTACTGACCAGACTTGTACATCCCAGGTTATGCATTGCGTCCCTGTGCCCCATTCTGGCAGATCCATCCCCCCACCACCCATGCACCTACACCCACCCACACCCCCTCTCGCCTCATCTGCAGGTTTGCCTGGGTACTGACCAGACTTGTACACATATCCCAGGTTATGCATGGCATCCCTGTGCCCTATTCTGGCAGATATCACCCACCCACCCCCACCCTACCCCATCCCACCCACACCCATGCCCCCTCTCACCTCATCTGCAGGTTTGCCCGGGTACTGACCAGACTTGTACATATATCCCAGGTTATGCATGGCGTCCCTGTGCCCCATTCTGGCAGATATCCCCCACCCACCCCCACCCTACCCCATCCCACCCACACCCATGCCCCCTCTCACCTTATCTGCAGGTTTGCCTGGGTACTGACCAGACTTGTACATATAACCCAGGTTATGCATGGCGTCCCTCTGCCCCATAATGGTAGATCCCCCCCCCCCTCCCTGACCCCCTACCCATCTCCACCCACACCCATGCCCCTCTCACCTCGTCTGCAGGTTTGCCTGGGTACTGCCCAGACTTGTACATATAACCCAGGTTGTGCATGGCGTCCCTGTGCCCCATTCTGGTAGATATCTGCCACCCACCCCCAACCCCCTACCCTACTCCATCCCACCCACACCCATGCCCCCTCTCACCTCATCTGCAGGTTTGCCTGGGTACTGCCCAGACTTGTACATATAACCCAGGTTGTGCATGGCGTCCCTGTGCCCCATTCTGGCTGCGATGTCAAAGTACTTAGCGGCTGCTTTCATGTCTCGCTGGAAATTGATGGCGTACCAACCGAGTGCCGTGTAGGCCGGCGCATGCCCCTGAATAAACACATTAAGGATGAGAATGTAAGAGTTGTGTACAGACTCATCCAGCGACTGTGTGTATTTATTAAAGTGGCACTATTCTCCTTCCTTGTCAGATGCTTTCTTGCATTTGATTTTTTTTCGTTTCTGTTGTTTTCTATGGTTTCTTTTTTTGACACAGGTATCACCAAAACCACTCAAGGCATGGCTTACAAAGAAAAGAAAAAAAGAAGACACATTGACAGAAAATGTCTGTTCACATACAACTTGAATCGTAAAAGATTGTAGGTACTGGTAGAAGGGAAACAAGATTTGGACACGGAGTTCAGGAGAAAGAAAAACTTTTAAAATATCTCGCACGACTAGCCATTTTGGAACTTTATCAGTGAATAGACTGGTACTGATGGTAGAATGCTTGAAAGCTCAGTCAAGAGGAACTAGGCCGTGGGAACACATCTCGTGGGAACACATCCAATGGTAAACTCTACATCAAAAAGACTTCCAGAACCCACAGATCTTCGGACATAGAGAGGTTCCAAGAGTGAGAGTCAGTCAGTCAGTCAGTCGCTCAGTCAGTGAGGTACATGTACAAAAAAGGACATTTAGCAGACCAGTAAAAATGGCCTGAGAATTTGACTTTAACAATAAAAAGAGTTCCTGGCAATTTTTAGAAGCCAATGACAACCCAATTCCTTTGCCACTTACCAATTCTGCAGACTTGTTCAGGTGTTCCAGAGCCTTCTCTACATTTTTCTCTGTCCCTTGTCCCTTTAAAGAAACAAATTGATAAATTGTGAATTTCATGTGTATAATTTCTCTCCCAATCGACAAGATGTATGTTTGATAAAATAAATTAATCAATAAATACCCCATCACCAAGGGGATGGGAAGAATTCTTGGATCTGAAAAAAAAAAGTAAATGAAAATTATGGATATGCAAATGACCAATCACCAAATACCCCAGTTTGCAAGACTTCACACCTGATAGAGTTGTAATCAAGTCCGTCACAAGTCCATTAAGTCTCAAGTCCAGTCACGAGCTATTCCAATGACAGGTGAAAAGGCACTAAGTTGATGGTTTCCATCACTTGCTACTTGCGACATAACCTGTGATTGACTTGTGAATGACAATGGCTTAGCACTGTCCTAGACACAACGTTACATGTATTTTCTGTGATCTACTTCATGTCATATTTTTCCCCTCTAAATGGAATAAGCACTTCCATGGTTGAATGTTGAATTTGCACACTTTCTTTCAATAGACCGATCCTCTCTAGGCCTGACCCACTGCACGCACATTGGCTACAACACTTGCACCAATACTGCCATGCTGCTCGTTCCAGCCGCGTACATCGTACCCACGTGCACATATGTGATGCAATCAAGCTAAATGAGTCGTTTGTCAGCCCTTATCAAATGTTGTTGTTTTACATTTTTGATTAGAGTTATCTTTCAGTTTGTATTTGGTGAAAACCCCATGTGACCTTCCGTTCAGAAGTTATGGGACTTAGAACACAGGCAGATCAGAAAGTGTTTATTAAGCAACAATCAACATGCTGTATTTCAGGTTATTGAATAATTAACTCCTTAGCAAAAATGTCACATTTTAACTACTTTATCGTGAGTTGACATGAAAGCGGACATATGTAGCCTTCTGATTTTACCCAAAAAAGCAATTTTGAAAATTCCACTCCTATACTAACCTATTTTGGGCTGTACGTATCTTAAAATCATAATTGCCAACAAACGACTCATTTATTAAACTTGATCGCATCACATATGTCAGACTTCAAAAGCATGCATGTCAAACACCGATCACGACTGTGATTGGTCAACACAATATGGAATGGTGTCTTCCCGCAAGTGGTGACGCCGTTGACTTTTTGTTTCGATACAAATGACAGACAGCGCCCTCTGTGGTTTTCCTTCGCTCGTACCCCCCGCCCTGCAAACAGGACGCTGGGATACTCTGATGAGCTTCACAGAATCTTGTGAAGGAAATGGCTTATGACCTATGTATAAAGCATCTGGCTGCAGCTGTTCAAGATCGCAGTTAGACAATGTGCGCAAATGCTATCCCAAAACTTTCAATAGAATTGCACACGTTCCATACCGGATGTGATTTCTGTTTCATTGCGGACCACGTGGACCAAAATTTGAGCGTCGCATAATGCAATCCAACCGTTCGTGATTCGAAACGGAGCCTGAGCGAGTGACGGGAATTGTAAATTTACAACACAGATAAGTTTTAAAGAATTTCCTACATTATTACGCTTTTCAACGAGACAAAAAAATCTCTAAACTGGAATAAAAGAGTAATGAATCAGTCTTAACCGCCGTTTCAAACCATGCAGAGTCATGACCTTGATGACGCGCAGGTCACTGGTCACGCAAAATCCAACCAATCAGAGTGTGAATTCATCAGAGTATCCCAGTGTCCTGTTTGCGGGGCGGGGGGTACGAGCGAATGGTTTTCCATGCACCCCATTACAAGGAAATGTTCTTTGAAAAGAAGCATCTCTACGCTACATGCATGTCTACAACAGGCATGCACTTCAATGCAAGAGAAAATGTGATTGCCAAGTAATGTTCATGCATTTGTTTTTTTTATTATAAAGACACCTGATATTGCTCATTGGCATTGTAGCCAGATTTCATTTGATTGCTGATAAGATCTTTTAGTCTTAGACCAGATATTAACCAAAGAATTTTGGCTCAAAGTGCCTCAAAACTGCATGGTGATTACAAGCGACTAAAAAACTCAAAACTCAGACTCAAATATGGTGACTCAGCTACATCACTGCATTCAAACACAGACAAGCCCCTCCACATTACCCAGACATGCAACTTGAAAGTACAGTAAACTCCGGCTAAACCGACATCGTACAACTCATCAAATCGCTCAAGTCTGCCATCTGACTAAAGTCCCAATTGTCCGTAGTGCATTTCCATTGAGTTTCGGCCTTTATAAGTCGGCCTTTATAAGTCGCCATTTCGCTGAAGTCGTCGTGTTACTCTTGGTCCCCTTTCCATGAAAAGCATTACAAAATCCTTTGTGTAGTCGGCATTCAACAAATCATGCATTGGCATCGACTTCCTGTACTGCGGTTGGCAAAGTGTCGAGTGAAAAGTGGTTTCGCACGGCCCGCGATTGCTGCATGCATCGGTGTCGAAAAAGGGTATCCTACTGCATACACCCCTTATGCATCGTGAGCACATCAAAACCAGTATTGAATGACTAGTGCTGCAGTCAGTGCGTGCGTGGTATATACCGGACCACGCACGCATTTAATTCGTTACTGTGCACGTACATATGTATCATGGTCTCAACTTTCCATACCCCAAACGTGATGATACAATTCGAGGATTAATTTGCTGGATTCAACTCAAGCATTAAGGAGAAAATCCAGGGTAAATCGAAGCCAATTAGTGCAATGAATCATGTGTGCAAAAGGCCATTCATGTAAGTCGGCGAAATGACGACTTATAGCAGATATCGGCATTCGCGTAAGTCGTCGCAAATTCTTGGGTCCTGAGAGTGCCGGTTTAGCCGGAGTTTACCGTATAGACAAAAACGAGGAAATTTTAAGCTTTGCAAGACTCTCTACATTGTTTAAACAATATTTTAACCGCATAAGTTTGAGGTGAATAACGAGGAAATCAGCTGATCTGAGGAAACGTTGGCATGCCTGATTACCCTGAGTAAGACAATGCCGTAGTCGTACAGAGCAACCCGATTCCGGGGCATTTCTTTGACCGACTTTTCGTAATATTTGACGGCGGTTTTCATGTCTCGTTTGACACCTTCCGAGCCCCAAAACTTCAGTCGGGCTATTGAAGCCTGACGCGAGAGCATTAATAAAATCAATCAGGAGAGAATATCAAACAGAAATCATAAAAATTAACAGAATCCTGATACGTTTTGAAACAAATCTTGAATTGAAATTGATGGTGAATCTTCTCAGCAATGCATGGAACATAAACAAACAGGTCCCAGGTTCTTGGATCTCTTTGAGGAAGAAAATATTTCTAAGCTTGTTTTGTTGATAAGCCAAAAAATCTGCTGTGATCAACGGCAAGCCTTTCTGGGTTAAGCAATTTTATATATTAAAGGGGCACTAGGTCCTGAAATCCCCCTAAATTTCATGTTTTGGATCGTTTACTTATCCTACTTCAAACATCTGGTTCAAAGGAAACCAACCTAATGTCTTTCCCGAGAAAAGATGAAAAAACCTTGTTTGTTTACTTCGGACACGACGGAGTACGAATAAGTTTTCCTGTCATTTAGTCAATGTACGTTATACACGTTGTGTCTATACTAGCACCGTGCTCGCGAACAGCGGTGACCAATTACCAATGCACAAAATGTGGTTTCTTACACGTCCGCAAAAGGCGAACACTTTATGGATGAAATCACAACTAGCATCAAAACAGCTCAATTTTTCGGGGTCGCAATAGTGGACCCCGAAATTCGTTCTCGCACGCATAATACAGGAATAACAATAAAACGCGCAGTTTTATGTTGATATCCTACCTTGAAATGTTCTTTCAGATTAACATCATTTCGTTCAAAGCGCATTTTGTAGCCCAATTGGGCTGTTCTAGGACGCAGTTTCCCTTTAAGCAAATTTATAAAATCACTTTAAGCCCTTCAATGCACCATGATTACAACACGAGCAACCTCCATTGCTGTAAAGATTTACCATTATCGAGACTTTAGCCGCATCTGAATTACTTGGCTATGGCTGACTGTTACACATGTCTATGTGAAGTGGCTTCAGCTGCTGCCATAGGCTCATGTGCAATTGCCATAACCTTAGCCGTAGCCTTGTAATTCAAATGTAGCCTTACCTGTAGATGAATGATCCCATAGTCATACTGCACAACCTCATCCAATGGATTCTCCATTAAATACAATCGGTAAAGATCGACGGCCTGCTGGACGTCCCGGTCTATGCCCCTCTGCCCCCAGAATAGTATGCGGGCCATATCAAGCTACAGGGGAGGGAGAATGGAGAATGGAACAGCGGGTGAAAGGAGGGGCGGAGTCAAATGGAACCACAACCAGAATAAAGAAGGTGTGAGCCCGTGGATCCAAAGAAACTGGACATAGCAAGGAATGACTGTTTCTATGGTATGGGGTCCTAGGAATACAAAGCATGGGCCTGGGATATTGGAGGGTTGTGGTCTTTGGGAAGGACTATTTCTATGGGGCATGGGGACCTAGGAAAACAAAGCATGGTCCTGGGATATTGGAGGAGTGTGGTATATAGGAAGGACTATTTCTATGGGGTATGGGGACCTAGGAATACAAAGCATGGTCCTGGGATATTGGAGGAGTGTGGTATATAAGGACTATTTCTATGGGGTATGGGGACCTAGGAATACAAAGCATGGCCCTTGGATATTGGAGGGGTGTGGTATATAGGAAGGACTATTTCTATGGGGTATGGGGACCTAGGAATACAAAGCATGGTCCTGGGATATTGGAGGAGTGTGGTATATAAGGACTATTTCTATGGGGTATGGGGACCTAGGAATACAAAGCATGGCCCTTGGATATTGGAGGGGTGTGGTATATAGGAAGGACTATTTCTACGGGGTATGGGGACCTAGGAATACAAAGCATGGTCCTGGGATATTGGAGAGGTGAGGCCTTTAGGAAGGACAATTTCTATGGGGTATGGGGACCTAGGAATACAAGCATGGGCCTGGGATATTGGGAGGAGTGTGGTATATATAGGAAGGACTATTTCTATAGGGTATGATGACCTAGGAATACAAAGCATGGTCCTGGGATATTGGAGGAGTGTGGTATATAGGAATGACTATTTCTATGGGGTATGGGGACCTAGGAATACAAAGTATGGTCCTGGGTATTGGAAGGATGTGATATATAGGAAGGACTATTTCTATGGGGTATGGGGACCTAGGAATACAAAGCATGGTCCTGGGTATTGGGAGGATGTGATATATAGGAAGGACTATTTCTATGGGGTGTGGGGCACAGAGGAGTACAAAGCATGGTCCTGGGATATTGAAGGGTCATAGTCTTGGAAAAAACTCTTCTTTGGGATATTGGATCCCATGTTATAAATATAATTGGCTTAAAGAAATTAAATGTCATCTCAGGTTTGTGACACTTTCGGAGATTTGAAGAAAAATGTGTACTATTGTTTGAAAATTTGGTTTACAAACATTTGTCACTTTTAAGGATTTACATAATTGAAGTCAAGACAATTATATTTTCCAATAACTATTGTTGAGGCATTCTGATTTGCTTTGATATGGTCATAGGTGAATAGCGCTAACACAATCCAGTCTATACAAAAAAAGAAATTCTTGGATGAAATATTTTTAGGCTCTTTTAAAAGGAAAAGGAAAGGATGGAGTTAGGAACGGTATATAAAGTTCTATAAGGACAAGGGGTTCATTTGTGACAGAATTGCAAAAGTTTACTTCTAACTTGGGAAAAAAAATGTGGCCTATAAAAGATTGTTATGGACATGACGTTCATGAAGTCTAGCACCTAGACACCAACCTGAGCCTGTGCTATGCCTTTGGTTGCTTGGTACTTCAACCACAGGAAGTGGTCGCCACCCTCTCCTTTGTGCACCTGTAGTGAGTCGGTGTCTGTCAACCTCACGTACTCCGTCAAAACCTACACGCCAAAAAAAAACCACAACAACAATCTATTAAAAAGAACCTGATTGATTGATTGTGGATTGATGCAGACCAAAAAGTATGTGCTTCAATTTGTGGAAGGTTCTTAGATGTAAGTTGAATTGACCATTCTCTGTTTTGCCATAGGTAATTCCAGCTTTATGTCATGTCCGTGACAGAGCTTTTAAGAGCTCAGGTAATAAACCTGAAAATATATTTTTGGTTTTTTTATCTTATACATCCATTATCTGGTAATGATCAAGGAAATTACAGATCATTCCCTGAATCATTCATTAGATATCGTGGTTAGCCCCTTAAAGACAGGAAGTGGCTTTAGCCGTGGCCGCTAGTCCTAACTGGAATGCATTTACCAGCTGTGGTATACCGTAGCACACGGTTAGTGAGTAGTTCTACAGCTGCTGCTTTTGTGCACTAAAAAAAGTACCCGATTAGTACTCGAGTACGAGTACCGAGTACGAGTACCGAGTACGAGTACTACATTTTGTACCGACTACCGAGTACCGAGTACGAGTACGAGTACTACATTTTGTTTTTGTACAACACTGTACACTACATGTTCCAGCTGTGCATGTCATGCATAAGTGCGTAGTTATTGAACATTTGTCAGAAACTTGGTTCCCCATTCATGGCACTTAATGGCCCAAAACAATATTGCATGGGGGTTAAGAGATCAGTCTTTTTTTTAAAGGTACAGTCCATCATTTGTAATTTGTGCATTATGTTCATTTGAAGCAACAAAAGTGTTCAAGATCTAAAGAAGTGCTGAACAACTAATCAGATGAATTTCAGCTCATTGAATGCTGTATATTCCAAGGAAACAACATTCTAGGATCTCGATTTCAACTCAAAAGTTACCGAGTCAGGTATTGAATTGCACCCAGATTCAGCATTCTCATTCAGCCGACTGCAGCTACGCGATGTCGGGCACTGATCCGACAAATTATAGCAACCGCGCGGGTGTGTGCATCATGTCAATGCTTGCACATGCTTCGCCGAATTAAAAATAAACTACTTACGGAAATTTCCCACGATGCATCTTTAGACGCATCGTTTGAAATGGCCTTCTTTCATTGTTTTCTTGAAAATGACAGCTTACCAGAACGAATTATTTCACAGGGAATTAAACCGAGTATGCTTTTCAACAATAATTTTGTCAGTTACTTTTTGGATAGCTGCAAATGATGGACTGTAGCTTTAAAGGGAAAATACAACATTTGCAAACATCAAAAAAAAAAACTACCAAATCATTTTGAAACACCTTGCTGGACTGTTAGTGAATGACAGTGTAAAGCATCCTGTAAAATCATGGCACCTGGTGTACTGTCATTTTCAAGAAAAGTGGTATTTTTGAATCAATTTCCAACGTTGGTCGGCCGACCAGCGTATGAAAAAAACTGGCTTTTTTTCAAATACTGGCCCCAATTGACCATCGCACTTGTTTGCAATCGATTACACACCTATGAACAGGTACAAGCCAGCTAGACTGGTTCCCTGACCTTACAATTCCCCAATATATGTAAACTGCTCTGTTTATTCTTAAATGGAGTCAGGGAACCAGACTACAGGAAATTGATTTTTTTTTCTTGGTTTTTATAGCATTTTCAAACCCAAAACCTCAAAAAAGTCAGTGTAACTATATTTGCTATATATTTCCAACCCCCCAATTCCATCCATTTCTGAAAATTACAGCAAAAGCAAATGATGTATATTCCCTTTAAGCAACTACTTACCCCATCAGCATCATGTCTCTCTCGATCTTTGACTGTCAGATCTGCCAACCTCTTCAAGTAATCTGATAAAAGAAAACAGACCAAAAATAAACAGATGTACAAAGCACGCTCACAGGACAAAGCCCCACTTCATGGAACGACTAAGCAGAAATACTGCGCTAGGCAATTATGTGCCAAGCTGAAATCAGCAGGATACCAGTCACAAGCAATGTAAATCCCTTGACAGCTTGGCTGCTAACCTATTTCTGCTAAGCAAACATTTTCTATGCTGAGTAGAATTCTTTGTTCACCAACTTCACCCAATCTTGTCCATTTTGAAAATACATTTTTTTTCCTTAAAGGGAATGTACAACAATCATTTGCTTTTACTGCAATTTTCAGAAATAAATGGATTTGGAGGATTAGTATGTTATAGCAAATATTGTTAAAATGACTTGTTTCACGATTTGAGCTTGTAGATGCTGGAAAAACCGAGAAAACCAATCATGTTCTTGTAGTCTGGTCCCCTGACCCCACTTAAGATAAAACGGAGCAATTTATAGACTTTGGGGAATTGTAAGGTCAGAGAATCAGTCTAGCAGGCTTGTACCCCTTCACAGGTGTGTAACCAATTGCAAAGAAAACACGGAATAAGTAATTGTGAAAAACTTAAGAGCAGTTTTTGAAAAAAGCCAGTTTTCTTCAACGCTGATCGGCCGACCAACGTTGGAAAAATCCCATTTTTCATGAAAATGACAGCACACCAGGAGCCATGATTTTACCGGATGCTTTAGACTGTCCTTCCTCAACAATGCAGTAAAGTATTTCGTGATAATTTGATCATTTCGTTTTGTGATGTTTGCAAATGTTGTATCTTCCCTTTAAATGTCCTATTTTAAAATATTCTATTTTAAAAAAGTGTCGGTATTTAAAGTATGTAAACCCCACTTTGTGTCCGGTATCTTAACCATCCTAGTCTTTTACCCTCCATAACACTATTTGAATTTGTCAAACTTACTGTACGAGAAGTCATAATCTTTGGCTGCCGCGTTCAGCCCTTGGTAATGATGATTGGCCAATGCAAGCATGGCTAACCGGTTCCCTGCCTGTGCGGCAACCAGCCAATATAAATATGCCTGTAGGGAGATAGGGAGAGAGAATCAAGATTCATATGAGCAGATTTTCCTATTTTTAAAAAGTTCAGCATTTAAAGTATTTTAGCCCTTATTTTGTGTCCAGTATCTTAACCCTTTTTAAGCCTTCAAGTTTTGCAAAACCACTTTTGCCCATAGAGTTAGCGCCCACACTTCAATGTCCTTTTTTGAGGTAATCTTCTATGGAGTATAGCTGTATGGATAGCACTTCAAATCCCAGCACAATTTGTTTTGTGTGGTCATAGGCTCAACAGGGCAAGCAGGAAGATTCAGTCACGCTTCACTGCTCTCCACAGTGCTGGTTTTTTTTATTAGGTGACACTCTGTGCGACACGGTTACTTGAACACTTAATATCCTTCGCTTGAAACTGCAGGGATTTGACGTGTTGTACATAATTATTGAGGGTTATTGAACAGAAGAACATCAAAAACTAAATGAATGAGAGTAACTGTGAGACTTGGTAGAGCAACAGTACGGTGTTCAGGAGATTGCAGGTTCACTTCTCACGCCAGTCAACTTTATATTACTATTAATGTCATCTGATTGACTGAGTCACTGATAGGACTGTGTATCGGCACCAGGTACCCGAGTCTCTGACCGTTGGTGTCAGGAACCGGTTCCAGATTATGGGATTGGGTACCCGTAACCAACTCTACAAATAACTCAGACAATGAAATTGAAGGGTCTTCAACTGAATGTCATTTATGGGGAATTGTATGAATGAAAAGCAGGCTACATGGGAAAACAAAACATAAACTTCTCGTTTATAATGCTCCCGAAAGTCGCAATTTACACCGTAAAGCTATAAAGCTCACTGTACACACTTGCATCTTGCTGTATTGACGCACCGATGCAATAGTTTCATTGTGCGGACATTTATATACAATCTGAACAGCAACTTCCGAAATTTGAATTTTGGGGTTGGGTTTCTTTAATGGGTACCCCGATACCCGTGTTTTTATTTTTCAACAGGTACCTGGTTCCCGTCAAAGGCACACCCCCAGTAACTGACGGGTTGACTGACTCACTGCGTACAAATAATGCCCCGAGCTGAGAGTTTCAGCTCCAACTTGCCCAGACAAGACTGGTCTGGTTATCACAAGAGTTTTTGTTTTGTGCAAATTCTGTCATAAAATTGGTCGAAATTTCATCAATTCTCACCTCATTTTGGTCCGCATCGACGTTGATTCCTCCGGCGTACAACGTGCCCAGCATATAGGAGGCTTTGTGGTTACCATAGCAACTAGCCTGGCGGAGGACGGGGAGGATGACTGGAATTGTTGACAAACCACCAGCAGCCTAGAAACGAGACCAAATAAAACAGATGGAAAGAGTAGTACATTTAGGGTTGATCACCCCAAGTTACCCAGTGTAGAACGCCATGGTCCAGTGATTACGGTGTTTGACTGCCAGGAACATGGTGTTTGTGCCCTTGGGCAAGACACTTAACTACAATTGCCTCTCTCCACCCAGGAGTATTAATGGGTACCTGTGAGGGTCGAGGACCGATTGAGCGCTGATATCGGCTGCAGCGTGGTCCCATGGCCTGATGAACAGGGTAATAATTGTAAAGCGCTTTGAGATCGTTGATACGATGGAAAGCGCTATATAAGCACAATTATTATTATTATTATTATTTTTAATGAGACATGGGAAACAAAATTCTACAATAACAGTAAGTGTAAGACTTTAATCTTTGCATGGTGGAGGCTAGACTGAGAGACAGTTTGCCGGTACACCATGTGGAATCAATCTCTTTTATAAGAGTGATGGTTCTGAGAAGAACTGGTGAGTGTGAGCTCGATGTTTTGACCAGGGTGCTCTGGTCCTCCTCAGGAGAGAGAAATTCGAATCCAATTTTCTTTCCCTCTCCTGAGGACGACCAGAGCATCCTGGTCGAAACATCCAGCTCACACTCACCGGTTCTTCTCAGAACCATCACTCTTATAAAAGAGATTGATTCCACATGGTGTACCCGCAAACCTGCTCTCAACAGTAAGCGTACTTTGTAAATGTTCGCATAGTTTTGGTTATATGCACATGCTTGCAAGTACCATTGTGTTTCGAACGGAATTTTGAAACCTTGGCTTCATCTCTGGTTTCAGTTTCAAGAGATTTGAGGCCCCTGATATAGGAGATCCGGTCCATATTTTAATTAACAAACATCAAATCCTATAACAGGTGGCAAAGGTTAGGCTGTTTCATAGAGCTATATTAAATTACTAGAGCGCTAACTCCTCATTCTTGCGCGCGGAGACGCTTTGAAGCCGTCCTGGGCGCAGACATTTTGAATTTATGTGCGTGTTTGTAGAACACAATCAAAATAGATGGATTGAATTTTAAAAGTGTACTCTACATGCAAGGCGCAAGTAGAATATATACGCAAATAACTTAAGCGCGTCACGACGGTTCAAAAAACGTCACTGCGAAAAGCATCTGCAGCGGAGGGACGCGCACACGTTGCGCTGTTTGCGTAGAGCAAAATGAAATGCTCATTTGCTGATCGTGCGTTTCGGTTTTGGGCGTATCGGCCTCGATGACGCACCGGCATGGAATACAAACGCAGATATGCAAATAGCCGTACAAATGCCGTACACAATTTCGAGTTTTCCATAAGTTTGTGCACAAACATGGATGCGCCCATCAGGCATTACTTTGTACATCGAGTTAGCGCTCTAGTAATTTGATATAGCTCTATGGGTTGTTTCCATTTAGTTGGGCCATTAAAAACTTCTAAATGATTCTGATTCTGTGCTTTTAGTTCTCCTCAGTAGGCGACACATCACCATTGACTGTTCTTTACACTAGAGCCCACTACCACCTACTCACCAGATACTGTAGGGCTTTCTCATGCAGCCTCCTACCAATGGACTCAAAGCTCTTCTCATAGTACTTGCTTCGCCAGGCAGCAGTCTTGAGTGCAGACCATAGATGTCTGTAGCCCTTAGGTGGACGTCTCTCCCAGGGTTGGCACACCGGTGGATGACTGTCGGATGATGATGACGAATGGGATGAGGACGGAAGAAGTGATGACAGGGAATTGCTGCAGGAATCTTGAAGAAGCATAAAATATTTTTTTTAAATCACTTAAGGCGTCTGCGATGAAATTTTATGGCATTTGTGAGGGAGATCGAACAATATTTCCACAATACAATTTATGCTTTAAAAGCTGTATGGACTCGGTGCAACAATTTCATTAACCCAACTGTTCTAAAATTGTAGTACATTGTGTTTATTTACTGAGGAATTTCCTCAAACCATTGAGTGCTGTGGCGATATTGAGTGCTACAGGGAGTAATTTGATGGTGTTCCGTGTAGTCCTGATGACAATCAACCCGGTGCAATCATGGTTATTGGTTCATGTACACTATGAAGGCCAAGTGAACACAGTGGTTTCTCTATGGCTGTTGTGAATCCGTTTAGTAATTGGCTTGATTCTCCTCTTTGAAGCAGAAATAAGCACATTTGTGGTTGCAACTGGTGCGGTGACAATCTGCTGAAAGGCAGTGAACCATTTTCAGGTACTCATTTGTGAAAAGGTTTTATAAAAGTAGGATGTGACATTGAAGTTCTTGATCATAAAGCTATAGTCCAATGATTTGCAGCTATCCGAAAAGTAACTGGCGTAATTATTGTTGAAAAACATACTGGTTGAAAGATAGTAAGGGGACTAAACTCCCTGTGAAATTATTCTTTCTGGCAAGCTGTCATTTTGAAGAAATCAACGAAAGAAGGCCTTTCCAACGGTGCGTCTTGAGACGCACCGTAGGAAAATTTAAATAAGTAGTTCGTTTTGTTATTCGGCGAAGCGCGCAAGCGTTGGCACGACGCACACGCGCGCGCGGTTGCAATAATTCGTCGTATCTGCAATCGGCTCAGTGAGAACGTGTCTCGGACGCTGAATTCAGGCCCAATTCAAAACATGATTCAGCAACTTTTGATTTGAAATCGAGATCCTAGAATGTTGTTTTTCTCGAAATATACAGCTGAAGCTGAGCTGAAACTTCATCAGGTTAGTTGTTCAGTACCCTTTTTTTTTTTTAGATATTGAGCACTTTTGCTGCTTCAAACGAACAAAATGCACAAATTACAAATGATGGACTATATCTTTAAAGAATGTGCGTGAATCGTTGCTGTGAAAGTAAGCCTGACTTGGGGTAGCCTTTAGTCAAGTCCCACGCGCCTATACCCGGACCATCCGGACACATAACGTACCCCGGATGCTGGCACGTAAAAAGACTAGCACGAGCGGTGAAGCCGCGAGGGACTTTACTATCTCGTGGAACTAATCACTTATTCATTTATTCACGTAATATAAATCAAGCAATATAAACCAATCATCCAACAGTGGTTTGCGGTTACCAGCAACAGCACGCGCGTGTGCTGTCTGGCGCCAGACGATGGCTGATTTACGTTAGTAATTCTGCATTTTCATTGGTCAATTCACAACGGGTAATGCATTATGCATGTCTACCAAATCGGTAGACAAATGTGAAGAAAAACATAAGCGTTCTCCACGAGATGGTAAAGGCCCTCGCGCTTCGCCGCTCGTGCTAGTCTTTTTACATGCCAGCATCCGGGGTGCGTCACGTGTCCGGGTAAGCGCGTGGGACTTGACTAAAGGCTAGACTTGGGGAGGAGGGGAGGTCACATTTTGGCAGGGTACAGGCAGGGCAGTTGCAGGCACTGAACCGTGACTAATGGGTACTTTGTACTTTGTGGCTCTTACTCTGTGGAATGAGCGACAGCCGTTGGCTCTGATACGTCTCGTATACAGTCAGCATTCTCTCCTGTAGCGCATCGCAGCTTGTGATGTAAGAACTGATCCTATCCATCAGGATAGGACTTGAAGAATTCAAATGTGGATCCTGTTGAAAAAAGGGCCGATTTTGGAATGTTACAACCACAAAGGAACAGTTAACCATTAGCACACAGGTAAGTTATGTAAGTGTGGCAACGAAGTCATTTAAACATCAAACAATGCACTCCATTCCGCGTACAGTTTAACTCCCCGTGCTACATATTTTTTAAGTTTCATCCCCCAAAATACATTCCTTTTTTTTAAATTACAATTTTTCTAGTACTAAAAGTCGTTATTCACTTTTGAATAAGACATCAAACCCCCCTCCCCAAAGAAAAAAAATCAGCTCATGTTTATTTTATAGTTATTACTTCACAAATTTCAAATTACTTGCAGCCCAACAATACAGGGTGTTTAAAAAAAAAAGGAAACCCAACTTCAAAGAATGAGAATGGACAGATGATATGTTTACTGGCTATAAAACTGGTATCATCTGAAAGCGTAATCTCTATGCTTTTTAATGATACAGGTTTTCTGAGTCATGCATCACTGAGCATCATTGTCTTGAAAACTGGATGCAAAAATGCAGTTGGTTCACTTTCATAAAAAACAACACTGGGCACGGTGTGCCTATTGTTACGGAAATGTCTGTGAAATGGCTTGAATGTTAATCCTCGGGAAAATGGCACATTGTTTTTGGTCAAAACGAGAAATTCATGACAAACAATCAAATCCAGTTTTGAAACCAACGCGAATTGTTTTTTTTTTGGTTTCTTTTTATGCACTCGTGTCTTCTTCTAGAATACTTATTATCATGCACACCATGCCTATTGTGTTTGACATGAAAGTGAACCAACTGCAATTTTTGCATAAAAATCTCATGACAGTGGCGCTCAGTGATGCATGACCCTGGAAATGTAAACAAGGTATCATTGAAAAGCATAGAGATTACGCTTTCAGATGATACCAGTTTTATAGCCAGTAAACATTTAGTCTGTCCATACTGGTTCTTCAAATTTGGGTTTCCTTTTTATTGAAACACCCTGTATTTCCGTACTCGAGAGGTAGGCTAGTTCCCGCCCCACAATCTGTATTGATAATGTGCAAACTAGGAGCCAGTCTGCTCACATGCCAGATCTGTTTGCGCCCAAAAAAGAAGGGGAAAAAAAGAACAAGAGTTTTGGGGGTTGGAATAGAACATACAATGAGAAAATATATTAAGTGAAACGAAATTTGATTTTGATGAAGAGCACAGGGAAAATGTTGGTTGATATATTCAGGGCCCAATTTCACGGCGCTGCTAAGCACACGATTTTCTGCTAACAAAGCCTTCGTCTATTTCATGGAGACCGTAAGCATAAGCACAGCAAAAGGCACGCTTACTTCCGAGGAAAAATTTGCTCAACTTAGTGACGTAACAATAGAAATCTCCATGCACGCGCGACCGTTAGCACGTCCACGCAGTGAAAAGGTTAGCAAATGTTTCTGCTATGCTAATCACAACTTTTCTGCTAACTGTTAAAGGGAATATACATCATTTGCTTTTGCTGTAATTGTCAGAAATGGATGGGATTGGAAATATATAGCAAATATAGTCACACTGACTTTTTTGAGGTTTTGGGTTCGAAAATGCTATAAAAACCAAGAAAAACAATCATTTTCCTGTAGTCTGGTTCCCTGACTCCATATAAGAAGAAACAGAGCAGTTTACATACATTGGGGAATTGTAAGGTCAGGGAACCAGTCTAACTGGCTTGTACCCGTTCACAGGTGTGTAATCGATTGCAAACAAGTGCAATGGTCAACTGGGGCCAGTATTTGAAAAAAAAGTCAGTTTTTTCCAACGCTGGTCGGCCGACCAGCGTTGGAAATTGATACAACAATACCACTTTTCTTGAAAATGACAGTATACCAGGTGCCATGATTTTACAGGATGCTTTACACTGTCATTCACTAACAGTCCAGCAAGGTATTTCAAAAATGATTTGGTAGTTTTATTTTTTGATGTTTGCAAATGTTGTATTTTCCCTTCAAGCAGCGCCGTGAAATTGGGCCCTGATCTCTCTCACCTTTTTAGTCACTGTAGTCCTCCACAGCCAGGTATCCGCTATGAATCCCCGGAATGCCTTAGAGACACTACTCCCTCCCAGATAGATAAGCCCCTCCCCCTCCTCATACCGCACCGGCTTGGGGAACATACTGCCGCTCACAACCACGTTTGTCAAGTTCTGTCCACTGCTCACTGATAAGGTCCACTGAAATGAAAACAAGAGGCCATTGAAGAAGGCTTCATGAAGACAGTACTAATTTTTCTTAATAATAATAATACCGGAGTCTTATACAGGACGAGTAAAAAAAGAAACCCAAATGTCTGCAGTAAAACGTCTGCAAGTGACAACACCCATGATAATGATGATGATGTATGGTGCCGATTTGTTATTTACAATTTGAAAGAAGCCCAGGGCTTGCATCCCGGTAATTGGATGATTCAGAGGAAACCTAGGGTGAATAGATTCACACAAACACCAAGGATATCATACTGACCTTGCTTCCATCTTGTTTGTAGACTACACGCACCCATTGCTTCAATGGGATCCGATAGTTGCTTAGCATTCCAAATGCCTGACCATTCTCAAGCACCACCTGTACGTGTATTAAGCCTGCAAAAAACAGTGTGTGTTTCATGAATAACATCTGTTCCGGTAGCAATATGTGACCTGTTCTGTCAACATCAGGCTTTTCTGGGCATAAGGTCGAAAATGAGATTTTTGCATATTGTTAAAATATGTACATTTTCCTTTTAATAGGTGGTTTAATTTTTGAAACCTGTATTTCCTGGGCAAAGTTATGCTATTTTGAAGTTCATTGTGTCGAAAAGTAGAAAACGGAGAAAATGGCCATGAACGTCACAAAACAGACATCTCTTTAATTGATATACCTAAACAAATCATCAAAAATACTATATTTAGAGTTCAAATTAGAGTTTCAAACTTTTATAGTATATTTTAGACATGTTCAGGATTACAAATATGCAAAAATTTGAAAATCGAAAAAAAATCACCCCCAGAGCGTTTTTTGGCCCTATCGTAATTTCAACCTCTGCCCAGCAGAAGCGTCTGCTTTTGACAGAACAGGTCACATATAAGCAAAAAATGTTGCACCCTGACGCCACTGTTTTCTTCATTATATCATCTCAGTGAAGGTCAGTTATTGCAAAAATGATGATAAGACATGAATCTGGGACTGAGAAACATTTCCAATTTTGTTAGGAAATACTTAGAAATTTTTTTTGACTCTCCATAGACTTTGTACACAACCGCTGAAGTGGCGTCAGGTTGCAACATTTTATTTCAATATAAAAACAGATTTGAGAAAAAAAAATAAATAAGGAACGGTTGATATGTTTGTCAGGTTTTTTAGGTTCAGTGTCCATCCTTTACAGTAGACTGATTGAAATGGACTAAAAAATCATTGGTATTACAGACCAATACGGGCACGTTATCATTTCTATCACGAAGGCCCCCTTCAATGGCGAAAGCATTGTGCTAGCTATTGTTCAGATAATCGGTTGGGGGCAGTTTGTACAATAGTGTGTACAGCGGTTTCTCCATTGAAGGGGGTCTCGTGAGTGAACATTGATCATGTGCCTGGATTCGTCTGTACAAATATAGTTTGAAAAAGCTGGAGCAACATAGATGCTTTGAAACGAACTAAGCATCTATGGGTGAATGCAAATATTGAACTTAAAGGTATAGTCCATCATTTGTAATTTGTGCATTTTGTTCGTTTGAAGCAACAAAAGTGCTCAAGATCTGAAGTAGGGTATTGAACAACTAACCTGATGAAGTTTTAGCTCAGCTTCAGCTGTATATCCATGATATTCCGAGAAAAACAGCATTCTAGGGTCTTGATTTCAAATCAAAAGTTGCTGAATCATGTTTTGAATTGGGCCTGAATTCAGCGTCCGAGACACGTTCTCAATGAGCCGCTTGCAGCTACGCGATGTCGCGCACTGATCCGACGAATTACATCATGTCGATGTCACGCACTGATCCGACGAATTATAGCAACCGCACACGCGTGCGTCGTGCCAATGCTTGCGCGCGCTTAGCTGCAATACAAAACGAACTACTAATTTCAATTTCCTACGGTGCGTCTTAAGAAGCACCGTTGGAAAGGCCTTCTTTTGTTGATTTCTTCAAAATGACAGCTTTCCAGAAAGAATAATTTCACAGGGAGTTTAGTCCTCTTACTATCTTACAACCAAGTATGTTTTTCAACAAGAATTACGCCAGTTACTTTTTGGATAGCTGCAAATGATGGACTCCAGCTTTAATATGTTTCACCTACATGTAAATACCCTCCATATTAACAGGCAATGATTCCTTTTATCACTGTGAAAATGTCAGTCAAAACTATCAACAAAAATAAACATTTCTGATATACATGTATGAACAACAACTTACCTTTTCTGGTGAGGAAGAGTAAAGGTGTGATGTAATTATTATTTGTCTGGCTTTTACGATGCATGATGCTACACAGATCAGAGCAGCAGTGCTCAAGAAGATAGACCAGCGTGGATATCGTGAATCTGAAAATGTATAATTCAATGAAATTATGGAGTCTGTGAAAGAACAGTAGAACCGATAACAATTCAAGCAAAAACCGACCCGAAATGACCCGAAACCGAACCGACTCGAAAACCCCCCCGAATATCTGGCTTGGGCAACTGTGTCCACTTTTTGCGCCTGAACTTACCCGCATCGCTTAAAAATCGTCGTCTGTCAGTAATTGAATTGTACCATAACGGTGAAGACTCATAACGTAGCCTACATGTACTGGTGGGACTACATGTTATATATACTGTGCGTGATAGACCGCAAACCAAATGCACAATCGTATGGTTGGTTGACGTTGATCGCACCAGGCACTCTGCAAAAATATCGCACATCATGAATTTCCGAACTGTTTCGTTTTTTTTTACTATTTAGTTCGGTTTATTTTGGGTTTTTCACAAGATGGCTTATTAAACCGAACCGACCCGACCCGACCTGACCCGAAAATCGAAAATGCAAAACCGAAACTGACAGACCGGACTGAAATGATGAAAAAACCGACCCAACCCGACCCAAAGTCGGTTTCGGGATGGGTCGGTTTAGGTTTCGGATCAGGTCTGCACAACATGTAGACATTTGAAAGCACAAAATTACAGACAGACCACAACTGGCAGCAGGCAGTAACGTAGTCCGAAAATTTGGGACTCTCAATACTGCGTGCGCGAGTCCCAAAACTTAAGGTATCCATATTGTGCAAAAGTTTGTGTGAATCAAATTTGCAAGCTTCTTACTCACTACAGTTTCCTCAACGTTCCCCGAAACTTCCGCCTCGCTAAGTTGCTTTTGTGAGCATTGCGTCACCAAAAATTCAGCTTTTAATTCTAATTTTGCAGAGAGTATCGAAATCCAAATGTGAGACATCACGTTGATGTGTTCCGCAATGCATTGTACAAATAGTTTAGTCGGAAAAGGGGGGTATCGTGCACCCTCGGAAATCAATTTCTAATCAACGTTTCTAGGTAAGAAAAAATGCGTAGAAAACGATTTGCTATGTTAAAAAATTCAAAAAATGTCCCACGTATTGTTTTTATGCAAATTAGTGCCGCCATTACCGAAAAATCTATTTTTAATTATATCTCAGCCAATATTGCAGATAACTGAACGAACTAGGTGTCTAAACCCATGTTTTCAAGGTCATCGATCACAATAAAACTATTCTGGAAGTGACCACATGTGTCTGTGGCATAGGAATATGCAAATTAGTGCCGCTAATACCGGAAAGTCATGTTTTTGGCATATCTCGGCCAATATAGCACATAACTACACCAGTAAGGTGTCTAAATCCATGTTTTGAGGGTCAAGTATCATTAGAAGACTATTCATGAAGTAACTATGTGTGTCTTTGGCATGAAAATATGTAAATAATAAAGTGTCGGTTTATCCGCTCTTTGATTTTTAGCCAATATCTCGGCCAATATTGCACTTAACTACACAAGTAAGGTGTCTAAACCCATGTTTTGAGGGTCAGGTATCATTAGAAGACCATTCACGAAGTAACTATGTGTGTCTTTGGCATGAAAATATGTAAATTCTAAATTGCCGGTTTATCAAAAAAATGATTTTCCGCCAAATTATATTCAATTTCAGCCAATATTACAGTTGATTTTGAATATGATGGCTTAAAATAAACTTTGATCATTATTGCTTATCAAAAACCCTTCTGTCAACATTAGCTGCAATATTGGCCGAGATATTGGCTAAAAATCAAATTTCTGATAAATCGACACTTTAGAATTTACATATTTACCTGCCAGAGACACACATAGTTACTTCGTGAATGGTTTTCTAATGATACCTGACCATCAAAACATGGGTTTAGACACCTTACTTGTGTAGTTAAGTGCAATATTGGCCGAGATATTGGCTAAAAATCAAATAGCGGATAAACCGACACTTTATTATTTACATATTTTCATGCCAAAGACACACATAGGTACTTCGTGAATGGTCTTCTAATGATACTTGACCCTCAAAACATGGGTTTAGACACCTTACTGGTGTAGTTATGTGCTATATTGGCGAAATATGCCAAAAACATGACTTTCCGGTATTTGCGGCACTAATTTGCATATTCCTATGCCACAGACACATGTGGTCACTTCCAGAATAGTTTTATTGTGATCTCCGACCTTGAAAACATGGGTTTAGACACCTAGTTCGTTCAGTTATCTGCAATATTGGCTGAGATATAGTTACAAATAGATTTTTCGGTAATGGCGGCACTAATTTGCATAAAAACAATACGTGGGACATTTTTTGAATTTTTTAACATAGCAAATCGTTTTCTACGCATTTTTTCTAACCTAGAAACGTTGATTAGAAATTGATTTCCGAGGGTGCACGATACCCCCCTTTTCCGACTGAACTAAAAATGACTCCTCAGCTAGAACATTTTCATCTCGCATATAAAACAGTGCCCTCTTGTTGATACATCTTCACACTGCAGAATGCAGAGGAGGCTATGTTCCTTTAGCCATCGATTAAAAAACTAGTAAGCTGCAAGGCGCTTCCTATATCTTACCCAGAATACTTTGTGAATCACACAAACGTTTCTAGAGCATGGAGAATGACGTGGATGGTTTTTGAACTGCCATTGACTTGCCTTAAAATTGGATTTAAGGTCTCAAATTTCGCAGGTGACATACTTGCAACTGTAGCATTTTGATGTACATGTATGTGTTGTGTGGGCGTTAATTAGTCAAATGGTGAGTAAAAAAAATCTTTAGTAGTTTTGCATGTTTTCATGCACTCACGGTCCCAGTCTGGCAATTACGTAGTCAGAATATTATTCTCGCCAAACATTTTACAAAATCAGCCGAAATGTATTTCCCAGAAATACTCACTGAGGGTTGAACCTGTGTCTCTGCTGCTTGTTGATCAAGCCGATGTCTTGGAACGGAGGCAAGTCCTTGGTAATCCCTGAATTAGCATCAGAGAAAGCCACTGGAAAATCCACCAGTTGCACAATCTCTGCAAATAAACAAATTCAAAAACAAACAAATAAACAAACAAACAAATCAAGAACTTTTCAATATCGTACTTTAAATTTTCCGAGTTGACTTTTTCTTGAAATACCAAAACGTATTGTTAGCAAGACAAGTTAGGCTGGGCCTTTTCTCAAGCCACGGATGTCAGCCATGTCAGCTTTGGATTCATCTTTAACCCTACACCATGTGTAGGCCTGCAATTTTTAAACCAAAGGCACACTACATTTGTTTTTTGTATTTGGGCATTTCCACACTAATGGGCCAATTAGATAAGTTTATGGATGTTGCGTATAAAGGGTAAAAGATGAGCAATATTTTCTTCAGTTTTATTCCTATACCTTGCTAAGTTGAAAGTGACTAGGACAAGACAAGACAAAAGATGACACCTTGTTTTGTTTGAGAAAATAACAGGCATCTTTTCTGTGTGATACATATGTAACGTGGACAGACGCACTGCTAGGAAAAGGGTGCTTAGGACAAATTCAGTTTCTAATAGGCACTCCCAGTGACATTATTAAGCCATTTTACATTGTTATCAAGCAAAAATATAACAGTTTTCACACTGGCTTCAAATTTACGATGTGATTAGGGTTACGTACGAACAGGGACAGACATTTTGTGACAAATGACCAGTCTGTTCGTACGTATAAATCCTGATTATGAAATATCAAATAATTCAACACACTGACTCTGAGCTTTCTAGGTTTTGACTGATAAGCATTCCTCCAGGGTACATCTTCTTAAATAAGTCAACATTAGGGGATCATTAAACTTTATGCTTACTTTGTGACTTTATCTAAAATGTCTGTTCTTTGTTACGTGCGTCGTGCGTAACACTTTTTAAAACAATATCCCCTATATTTTCTAAAATACAAAACCAGTTATCATTTGCAGGTGAGGATATTTGTTTGAAGCTTGCAATGTTTACGGCAAAAATTGAGAGACCCAGATCGCATTTTATCATCAAAACTTAACCCTAACCCACCCCACTCCTCCAAAATCCTCCTGGCGGTTTTGGAGGATTCTAGAGGATTGAGGATGAATGGTGATTGAATCAAATGAGGGTTCTGGAGGATTGAGGATGAATGGTGATTGAAGCACATGAGGATTTTGGAGGATTGAGGATGAATGGTGATTGAAGCACAAGAGGATTTTGGAGGATTGAGGATGAATGCATTTTGAGGCAGGACTGTCTGATGATTTTGAAGGATTTGGCGTTGGTTATCCTTCATTTAAACACGAGTGCAAAGTTTTGGGATGAGGAGGATTTTGGAGGATTGAGGATGAATGCATTTTGAGGCAGGACTGTCTGACAATTTTGAAAAATTTAGGCGGAGTTGCAAAATTTTGGAGGATTTTGGAGGATTGAGGATGGTTGTAAGCAACAAGGGCCTAGGGGGTTAGGAAAGGTCTTCTCAAATGTCACACTTTTGATCCCATTAGCGTGGAATTGCCCACTTGTGCTCTTGAGTAAGGTGTTTTACCTTACTTGCTTCATCCCAACAAGTTGAGCAAAGAAATTGAAGGGGATTTAAAAGTTAAACAAAGCCATTAACAAAATGGGGAACTGCCAACATAGGGCTAGATAGCTGAGTTGGGACAGCACCAGAACAACAATCTGGGGGTCGCAAGTTCACACCTCCCCAGGCAGTCAATATCTCTACTTGGTACTTGTAGCATCTTCTTCTAAATTCTCCGCAGGGGCGTTTTAAAGCTATAGTCCATCATTTGCAGCCATCCGAAAAGTAACTGGCGTAATTATTGTTGAAAAACACACTTGGTTGAAAGATAGTAAGGGAACTAAACTCCCTGTGAAATTATTCTTTCTGGGAAGCTGTCATTTTGAAGAAATCAACGAAAGAAGGCATTTCCAACGGTGATTCTTAAGAAGCACCGTAGGAAAATTTAAATTAGCAGTTCGTTTTGTTATTCGGCGCAGCGCGCGCAAGCATTGGAACGACGCACACGCGCGCGCGGTTGTTATAATTCGTCGGATCAGTGCGCGACGCCGCGTATAGCTGCAATTCAAAACATGATTCAGTAACTTTTGATTTGAAATTGAGATCCTAGAATGCTGCTTTTCTCGGAATGTACAGCTGAAGCTTAGCTGAAACTTCATCAGGTTAGTTGCTCAGTATCCTTCATTAGATTTTGAACACTTTTGTTGCTTCAAACGAACAAAATGCACTAATTACAAATGATGGACTATACCTTTAACAGGAGGCCAGAAACACCAGGGCAAACCCCTTCTCTTAGCGATAAATGTTACTGGGTTCTTGTATGCATTGCATTACACAACACAGGGGACCTAGAAAGCTTTACGTCCCATCCGAAGGATGAAGCAATACTGGTTAAGTGCCTTGCTTAAGGGCAAAAGTGTCCAGACCCGGGCTGGAACCCACATTCTGCTGCCTCTGAAACACCAGAGCATGAGTCCAGTGTGTTGCACTTAACTGCTAGGCCATGACACTCCATATCTCTGTTTTTAAAACTTGAAAACAATTTTTAAAAAAACAACAAAAATAAATAAAACAAATTCAAAAGTGGGGGCCGGAAATGCTTTGGTGATTAGGCCACAAAAAAAAATAGTCGGTCTCTGGTCAACGCGCGCATCGATTTTAATCATGCGCGTCAACCTTGTTTTCCCTTCAAATTGTCCGCGGTAGCTACAACAGCGCCCTCTATTGCCGCACCTCCTCAAATTTGTGTACCAAGGAGTGGGGAAATTGCACCAAAGCAAATGATGGAGGGCACAAAGGCAAATTATTACCAATGTATATGAGAACACAAAAAAGCAAAAAATAGTACCCACCTTGTCTGTACAATCCAAGCTTGAAAAAAAAAAGCCCACCCCAAAAAACCTGCGTCGCCGCATCAATTCCGGAACTTTGGTCTGACCAGAGACCGACTATCTTTTTTTTTTGGCCTTAAGATTAATTTTTCCGTACAAAGTCAGCAAATGTGCCCGAAAAATTAACGTTTCTGATGGCCAAATTACCTTTTTCGACTTCACACCTGAGCACTTTTCCCTCGTTGAAATACTTGAGTTTTATCCAGGCATCCCAGGACAAGCACATATTGGCCTCATAATTCCTCCTTTGCCGTTGATAAACTGGAAGGACTTTCACTGGATACACACCCTTGACATGAGCCTTCTCATAACAATTCAAATTGTTCCAATGGACGCAGCTCAGGATCTGTCGTTTGCTGAGGATCCATACTTTCAGCTCCAGACCGATCACGTTGAAAGCAAGTGGTTGCAAGTTATCCGGCCGGTACGTCAGCCATTCGGGCAACGTCAGCAGCACGTAGGCTCTGCGCGTGCCGCTCGCGTAACGACTGCACGTCCAATCATGGTGGAAAACCCTCAGCGGGCTTTCCGGGATGTCGTCCGATTGGAGGAACATCTGAACAGCAATGAGATCACCATCACTGCAGGAGTACTCGATGTGAGCAAGGTGTTTACCGCCGTCGAAAACTTCGATGGGGTTCACGATGCGGACGAAGGAGCTGAGATGGGGTTTGGCGGGGTCGATGACCACGGAGAGAGTGCTCTGGGCTTGTCTCAAGGCATCGTTGTGTATCCTGGTGTGTTCATGGGGAAGGAAGTGGGGTTTGGCAGCATGCGGATTGTGATGCTCCAAGAAAGCTTTGGCTAGATGCTGATATACATGTAGGGAATACATCATTTTAATGAAAAGAAAGAGCGGGAGAGAGAGAAAAAAAAAAGGAATTTACACACTGATATAAGATTTGAGGCTTTGCATGGTGGGGTATCGGTATCGTTTCGGTTTGCGGTAACACCATGTGGTAATAACTACTGCTTAGAAGATATTAGTTCTGAAAAGAACTTGTCCTGCTTATTATCAACTTTGCTAAGTACTTTTTTGTTCTGTTAAGAACAGTTCTGCTGTAAGTTCTAAACGAACTTGTCTTTGGTCTCAACGTTTCGACTAGCCTGCTCTAGTCATCGTCAGGCGACTGTCTCCAAATTTACACACTGTTATAATGGAATCAGTTTGCTTCACTTTCTCGATCTCTGGTCAATCAGGACTTAACGTTATACATGCACCGGTCATGCCAGTGACTTTAATACAATAGACATAGTACATGAAACGGAAAGAATGTTGCAATTTGACGCCACTTTTTCATCAATCTAAATAAGGAAAGATTCCCATATCTGGCCATCAGTAAGTAAAAAGTTAGTAAGTTTTCCCTTAAATGATTTATCAGCCATCCTTTTGTGTTGCTTCGTTCTTAAATAATGGACCCCGATTCAGTATCCGCGTAGCTGGCAATGGACTTGAATTGTTTCTTTTCCAGTGATTCCAACCGCGTAGCCCGAGATTTTAGGGGTGTATTTCCATGATTTCCGAATGGCGGGGTATTCTGCGATTACTCCGGCGTCTTAGCTGGAGTTACCCAGCCCTGAGTTTTATCATTGGGTTGTCTATTAGGGCTGGAGCAAATTTTTCTCAAAACTTGTAGTATTTGCAAAAAAAATTTGAAAAATGTTCAATTTTGTCCCCATTACACACTAATTGCAACTGCAACTCACCCCAAACTTGCCTGGAATAACCATTACACAGGTCCTTGAAGTAAAAAACGATCCACGATGAAGATTCAGCCTCCAATTGCAGTGAAAACAGGAGAAATAACCGCTAACTTGACAACCTTGCTGGATTGGCCAGGACCGCTATTGGTTTGTGCACAAAAAAAATTGTGTACAATGAATGGCGGTCGATTACCATGCACGTACAGCTCGCTGGTACTAGGCGTTTTTGCGGTCGGTGCATGACGTGACGCGGAAGCGTAATACCCGATGACTGTTTCATGCATTAATAAGAGGTTCATTCGCATCACAGTGCGGTACTGGAACGGCAGTAACACTGCACTATGAATGCACGATAGCCGGCCAACTCGACGGTTGCCGTTCCAGTACCGCACTGTGATGCGAATGAACCTCTTATTAATGCATGAAACAGTCATCGGGTATTACGCTTCCGCGTCACGTCATGCACCGACCGCAAAAACGCCTAGTACCAGCGAGCTGTACGTGCATGGTAATCGACCGCCATTCATTGTACACAATTTTTTTTGTGCACAAACCAATAGCGGTCCTGGCCAATCCAGCAAGGTTGTCAAGTTAGCGGTTATTCCTCCTGTTTTCACTGCAATTGGAGGCTGAATCTTCATCGTGGATCGTTTTTTACTTCAAGGACCTGTGTAATGGTTATTCCAGGCAAGTTTGGGGTGAGTTGCAGTTGCAATTAGTGTGTAATGGGGACAAAATTGAACATTTTTCAAATTTTTTTTGCAAATACTACAAGTTTTGAGAAAAATTTGCTCCAGCCCTAATAGACAACCCAATGATAAAACTCAGGGCTGGGTAACTCCAGCTACCGGCGTCTATACTTCATTCATTCTTTCCCATGATTTTTATGAAACTTTTAAAGTTCTATACATTTCTGTACCTTTGAAGTGCATAGACCTACACAACACAGTTTAACCTAATTAACCTCAGTGAAAATGCAATGCAATATAAATTGCAAGTCAATCTGTCCGGAAAGTGGGCAACCAAAGTCTACCGGACCGCCATACAAACACAATACAGTGGCGCGCCAGTGTAAATGTATGAATTCAAGATAACTGCAATGAACAACAGTTTCGTTTCATGGACAATATAATCCGCTTAGTTATGACTATGAGGTAATTTATTCTAGTCTTACCTTGTTATCAAGAAATGTTGATATTGAGAGAAATAATGCGCAGAAAACGAATGGATACTCCGCACTCGCCATGATCGTGTACGTATGCCCAAGAAAGTTTTCTCAATTGGACGTGTAGCTCGTGACTAGCTCTCTCGGTAGTATACTCCATACGCATAGTTCATGAACCAACTACATGTATCACCAAATGCAAGTTAACACATATGCAATGAACAAACAAATCAAGGCAGGCCGCAGATGAAACTAGATACGTATACGACCAATAATATTGTAAAATCCGAACATAATTTAAATCCAAAACGACATAATTAATAGGTACATTATACAAATAAAAGTGAAGGGTCTTTCATCAAGATTGTTCCGTGATAAAATTCAAAAAGTGTGTCGCACGGAAAAGGATATATTTTTAACCATGGATAGCTCCATGATTTAACATTATTTTTGACTTCATCATGCCTATAAAAAAAAATGTCTATACCTCCTTTTTTATCATTTCAAAATTCCACTTCATGAAAGCTAGTTCACACATTGTTGTGTGTGATTAATAAACACTTTTCTCTATCTCACCATGGACTCGATATTTATGTAGATTATTGATTTTTCTGTATAATGCAGCGATTTGTTGCAACAGCTGGTGTGGAAGATTAAATAAATAAACCCAACGGCTGTTTCAATTAGATCTAGAAGAATGAAAGGAAACGACAAATACACAAATACAGATACATATACTGCATGCTGCGACATGTAATTGCTACCTGTTACTTGAATACAAGACAAACATCAGATGGTGAAAGTGTCCATCAGAACGAATGCGGCACCGAAAACCCGAACTTGAACTGATAAAGAGGCGTGGCATTTCAACGTGTGGGTGCGGGGGCATCGGCGTACTATAGCTGGGGGGGGGGGGGGGGGGGGGGGGGGTTCGCAGGGGGGGGGGCGCACGCCCCCTCCCCCAATAAAAAAGTTCTCGCCCCCCCCCCCCCCCCCCGCCAAGCACAGCCGTATGAGTTTCCATGATTAGCTGGAAAAATATAAACTAAGTCCCATTTTCCGTGATTTTGTGCGTATTTGTTAACCAAAACCCTTTCTTTTCGCGAGTACGTGGCTGTATATTTTAATTTCCATGGAAAACAAGTAGCGGTAGTTATTGTCTAACATTAACCATGATAAAGGTTTTGAACAGCGCCCCATGGGAAGATGTACAGCCCCCTTCCCTCCCCCCCCCCCCCCCCCCCCATCCCCGCCCCACACCTTGACTAGTTTCCACACAAATGATGAAATTATTGGGCGCCCCTTCATTGTAACCTCAAGCCCCCCCCCCCCCCCCGCCACACACGCCCCCAAGATGAGAACCCTGGCTACGCCGCTTGGGGTGGGTGGGGGGGGGGGGGTGATGCTTTTCCCAGCAAATTTCTCCCCCCCCCCCCCGCCTCGGAATTTATGGAAGGTCAAATAAAATGAGACCCCTCCCGGTTGGTGCGCCATTACATTTCAGTATACAGTGTATCTGTGTACAATGCCTCTTTTCTTATTACGGGGATGGGTGAGCTGGAACGGCAAACGCCCTTGTTGTCATTATATCAGCCGTTCGACATAATGATGGACACAAACAGAGCTATTTTGAGTGGGTAACCTATTGTGTATTTACCCAAACTTAACCCACTCAAAAGGCTAACTGTCACGGCATGCACCCATATGCAGTTGAGATATATCGACGACATGGAAAACATACACAAGTCATGTAGCTCTAGATAAATATTCGGAAGCAGCCCTTGTAATATTTTCGCCTTCCTTTGGTGGTGGTTCGTTACTATGGAGCTGGCTATTCCACGCGGGACAAAGAAGGCTGAACCTACCTACGACGACTAAGCCCTTTTTTGACGGGGTTATTATTATTATTATTTTGGGAGTGGGGGAAAGATGGGCTCGAGGCCACAAGTAAGCCGAATTAGTCCTCTATATCTCAGTCCCAAACCCCGGCATTCCCACCTGCATTGAAAGCACCCCAGGTCTAGATGATGCATGCCCCCCCTCTCCCGAAAAAAAATGGCTAGTCGGGAATATATATAAAACGAATATATTAGTACCTTATCAGGGAAACATTCCCATAAAGTACACCAGGGGCGGCGGAACCAGGGGGGGGGGGGGGGGGGGGGGGGGGGGTAGGGGGCGCGGTAGGGGGTGCTTGCCCCCCCCCCCCCCCGCCCCAGATTTACCCAAGTGCTCCAATTACAGACAGAAAGTGCCCCTCGAGCATTAATGTGCCCCCTCGAGATGAAAATAAAACGGGCCCTACAATTTCGGATAATTTGTTCGCAGTCACCATTTCCCAAAATGGTAAACAGAGTTCTGATACGAACGAGGAATATGAAAACCAAGTCCCAAAACCATTACAATGCGCCCTGGAAATGAGGACATAATGCGTAGTTCGCATATTGACCGGTTTTGAAGAGCGCCCCCTATTTTGGAAGAAGAAAGTACCAGCCCCCCCCCCCCCCCCCCCCCCCCCCCCCCCCCCCAGTTTGAAAATCGTTCCACCGCCGCTGATGTGCACAATTTTCTTTCTTCCATTTTCCCTTGCCCCAATTCTAGCTTATCCTACCCTATAGAACATAGTAAATAATATTACACGAGTTTAATTTGTACCTCCAAAGCTACTTTTAAATGGTACTTGTTGCCAATTATATGGCTTTATATTAATCGACATTTTGGTCTGCGGCAATCACTCCACCCTTCAAGTTATAATTGCTATAACGCCGGTACCCCTGTCTCTATATAACCCCTCCCTATACCCCTCGGCCGTTCTCATCGCCCCTGTGGATGATATTTGCGCACAATCATTCGAAGCTGAATATAGAAAGGTAATTTCCATTCAGTTTCAGTTCAAGGAACTCAGAACTTTAAAGAGGTTGTGGAATGCTCGAAGACATTTCCGTCATTTTTCGGGTATATGTAGCCTAAGGTGTGATGAAATAAAAACGACTATTGTGTCTGTCATGAAATGAGTATAAAAGGTACTTTTTGAGAGCTGTTTTTCAGGTCCTGTTTCGACCCCAACGTGCAATTTGTGTAAAAGTCGTCGTTGGGGGCAGCAAACAAAACATAGTAAATCGTGACGTAATAAACGGGACTCCCGATGCTGCGTAGTATGTACTCATTTCACGACAGACACAATAGTCGTTTTTATTTCATCACACCTTATAGGCTACATATACCCGAAAAATGACGGAAATGTCTTAGAGCATTCCACAACCTCTTTAACGCATCACCTGGGGTATAGAACATGCTGATCCGGTCGAAAAAGCATGAATGGGGGCGGTCTTTGTTGGGGGAAGGGGCTTCATTTTCTGCAGGGGCCGGAACTCAATCAGTTTCGAACAATGAGAATACATTTTTTTGCCTTCTCCAAAGTTATTAGTGCGGGGTAACCAAAAAATGGAGGGGGCACATACACTCCGGGCTACGCAATACAAATGGGAGCAAATCTGATCCGACAAGACCGGTGTAGCGTGAATATCCGACTCCATGAAATGTGGACTCATTGGTAGTACTGCGCACGCGTGGGTACGATACTAAGCTATTTTTAGGATCGTGTCGGGAGAGTGACCTGTCACGTGCTAGGGATCAACCAATAAAAGGGAAATAGGGGTCCGATTTTCATAGGAGTCGGATTTTCATGTGACACCGGCATGTGCTCGACAATAAGCAATAACCAAGTCATCATTGCGGTAAAAGCCCGCCCTCTACTGGTGAATACACAGTTGACCCACTGTCAAGCTGGACACGAGGGACATGCAATGCATGCTGTGGTGAATCAAGACAAGTGCATTATTAAAGAAGATTTTAGCTCATCCCTCTCTGGAGCTTTCTAAATACCGCTGATCCGCTTTGCCCATTCGCCTGGCTTTTGAGATTTCCCCGGCGATTCGGGTTCGAAATGGATGAAAATGCGCCGTCACAGCCTGAGTTCACATGCATAATTTGCTTGGTTCAGAACTTTATCAATGCAACACAGATCCCGGTCACACGGTCATCTCGTTAAAGGGAAAATACAACATTTGCAAACATCAAAAAATAAAACTACCAAATCATTTTGAAATACCTTGCTGGAAAGTTAGTGAATGACAGTGAAAAGCATCCTGTAAAATCATGGCACCTGGTATACTGTCATTTTCAAGAAAAGTGGTATTTTTGTATCAATTTCCAACGCTGGTCGGCCGACCAGCGTTGGAAAAAGCTGTCTTTTTTTCAAATACTGGCCCCAATTGACCATCGCACTTGTTTGCAATCGACTACACACCTATGAACGGGTACAAGCCAGCTAGGCTGGTTCCCTGACCTTACAATTCCCCAATGTATGTAAATTGCTCTGTTTTTTCTTATATGGAGTCAGGGAACCAGACTACAGGAAAAGATTGTTTTTCTTGGTTTTTATAGCATTTTCGAACCCAAAACCTCAAAAAAGTCAGTGTAACTATAATTGCTATATATTTCCAACCCCCCAATTCCATCCATTTCTGAAAATTACAGCAAAAGCAAAAGATGTATATTCCCTTTAACATGATGGCACACATGATGATACGACCACACGAGGGCATATACTTTCAGTCCTTCACTGCGTCTACATGACTCTGCATGCGTATATATGCCTATAGCTAGAGGGTCGCAGAGATAATCAACTTGACCCTTCCAAATCAGTTTCCGGTGTTGGATTACCTTCTCCGGGGTCACTTCCGGGTCATGTCTGTCATCAATCGTATCAACCATACTTGCCTTTCTTTGTAACCTTGACCCCAATTAGTCTATCCGAATCATACAACTATGGACCGATATTTGCTACACTGTATCCTGAGTTTTTAAGCCTGAAGGTCAAGCTGTGGATGGGCAGCTGTTTCGATGATTTTCTTCCTCCATGATCATAGCGAAGCAGCTGGAGCACTCGTGTAGGTTTGGTTCTCAGTGTTTCTCTCGAGCAAAACCAGCTTCTGATCCTTCCGAGATGTTTTTGTTCATTGATAAAATTAATGATAATGACGAAACTTTGTCAGCATCAAGGGCGGATCCAGAACGCAATTTTTTTGGGAGGCCCCA